GCCTGACCAACATGGTGAAACCCCCCCTCTTTAAAAAAAAAAAAAAGATAAGACATCATTTAATATGCTTTCCCTCTTCCAGTTATCTCAGCAAAATATCCTTCGGTTTGTTATAAAAACTGTCTAATTATGGAGGGTAATTGTGTGTAATGCTGGTGCAGTAGTAAGGAAAGAACCATTTTTTAAATTCAAACCCAGCTTTATTGAGGTATAATTTACATAACATAAAATTCACCCATTTCAAGTGTACAATTTAGTAATTTTTAATAGATTTGCTGTGTTGTGCAGCCATCACCAAAATCCAGTTTTAATGTTCTAATTTCTGTCACCCCAAAAAGATGCCTCATTCAGTTAATCCCTGTTCTCACCTCTAGCCCTAGACAAACTAGTCTACTTTCTTTTATATATGTCTTTTCTGGATATTTCATATAAATGAAATAACACATGATCTTTTGTAACTTACTTCATTCGTTTAGGATGTTTTCAATGCACATTCATTTTGTAGCATGCATTGGTACTTCTTTTTTTTTTTCAGAGATGAGGTCTTGCTGTGTTGCCCAGGCTGGAGTCCAGTGGCTATGCACAGGCACAGTAATAGCACGCTAAATCTTGAACTCCTGAGATCAAGTGATCCTCCTGCCTCAGCTTCCCAAGTAGCTGGAACTACGAGTGCCTGTCACTATATCTGGTTGTATTTCTTTTTATTGCTGAATAATATTCCATTGTATGGATATCCGATACTTTGCTTATCTATTCATCAGTTAATGGACATTTGGGTTTTTTCTACTTTTTGGTTATTATTAACACTGCTGTGAACACTCATGTACAAGGTTTTGTGTGGATATATGTTTTAATTCTCTTGGGTAGAAAACTATGAGTGAAATTGTTGGGTCACATGGTAAATTTATGTAAAACCATTTTTTAAAAATTTATTTTTTTGAGACTGAGTCTCACTCTGTCGCCCAGGCTGGAGTACAGTGGCGTGATTTCCACTTACTGCAACCTCTGCCTCCTAGGTTCGAGCTATTCTCCTGCCTCAGCCTCCTGAGTAACAGGGATTACAGGCATGTGCCACCACAGCCAGCTAAATTTTTTATATTTTTAGTAGAGATGGGGTTTTACCATGTTGGCCAGGCTAGTCTTGAACTCCTGACCTCAAGTGATCCACCTGTCTTGCCCTCCCAAAGTACTGGGATTACAGGCGTGAACCACCATGCCTGGCCTATTTTTATTTTAAAAAACTTTTTTTTGAGACAGAATTTTGCTCGTTGCCCAGGCTGGAGTGCAATGGTGTGATGTCAGCTCACTGCAACCTCCTTCTTCCAGTTTCAAGCAATTCTTTTGCCTCAGTCTCCCAAGTAGCTGGGATTACAGGCATGTACCACCACGCCCAGCTAATTTTGTATATTAGTAGAGATGGGGTTTCTGCATGTTGGTCAGGGTGGTCTTGAACTCCTGATCTCAGGTGACCTCAGCCTCCCAAGCGCTGGAATTACAGGTGTGAGCCACTGTACCCAGCCTTTTTTTTTTGAAAGGATGTCTTGCTCTGTTGCCCAGGCTGGAGTACAGTGGTGCCATCTCAGTTCACTGCAATCTCCATTTCCTGGACTGAAGAAATTATCTTGCCTTAGCCTCCCGAGTAGCTGGGATTACAGGCACCTACCATCACATCCAGCTAATTTTTTTATTTTTTATTTTTTTGAGACAGAGTCTCACTCTGTCACCCAGGCTAGAGTGCACTGGCTTGATCTCAGCTCACTGCAATGTCTGCCTCCTGGGTTCAAGCGATTCTTTTGCCTCTCAGCCTCTCGAGTAGCTGGGACTACAGACAGACGCCACCACACCCGGCTAATTTTTGTATTTTTAGTAGAGACAGGGTTTCACCATATTGGCCAGGCTGGTCTCGAACTCCTGACCTCATGATCAGCCCACCTTGGCCTCCCAAAGTGCTGGTATCACAGGCGTGAGCCACCGTGCCCAGCCTATTTTTATTTTTTTTTAAACATTTTTACTTTTTGGACAGAACAACGTGAATATATAAAACCATGTTTTGTATCAAGAATGGTATCTTAGGTCAGATGTGGTGGCTCATGCCTGTAATTCCAACACTTTGGGTGGCCAAGGTGGGAGGACTGCTTGAGCTCAGGAGTTCAAGACCACCCTGGGCTACATAGTGAGACCCCGTCTCTACAAAACAAAAATGACAACAACAGCAAAAAAAGAATGGTACATCTTTTATATTTATAGTACCTGAAATCCCATTCCATATCCTACAAGCCTCTGTCCACCTCTCATTGAATCTGCTTTTCCTCAAGCACAAGCATCCAAGAGACAATATAGTGTACTGAATAACTTTTTTTTTTTTTTTGAGACGGAGTCTTGCTCTGCCGCCAGGCTGGAGTGCAGTGGTGCAATCTCGGCTCACTGCAACCTCCGCCTCCTGGGTTCAAACAATTCTTCTGCCTAGCCTCTCGAGTAGCTGGGACCACAGGCGCATGCCACCACACCCGGCTAATTTTTGTATTTTTAGTAGAGACAGGGTTTCACCATGTTGGCCAGGATGGTCTCGATTTCTTGACCTCGTGATTTGCCCGCCTCAGCCTCCCAAAGTGCTGGGATTACAAGCATGAGCTGCTGAGTCCAGCCTTGAATAACTTTTTTTTTGAGATGGATTCTCGCTCTACTGCCCAGGCTGGAGTGCAGGGGCACGATCTCATCTCACTGCAACCTCCACCTCCCAGGGTCAAGCGATTCCCCAGCTTCAGACTCCCAAGTAGGCAGGACTATAGGCACGCACCACGCATCTGGCTAATGTTTTTTCGTATTTTTAGTAGACACGGGGTTTCGCCATGTTGGCCAGGCTGGTCACTAAACAACTATTATAAAAGTACATTAAAAAGCATTCCAGACCAGGCATGGTGGCTTGGGCCTGTCATCCCAGCACTTTGGGAGGCCAAGGTCGGTGGATCACCTGAGGTCAGGAGTTCCAGACCAGCCTGGCCAACACGGCGAAAGCCCTTGTCTACCGAAAATACAAAAATTAGTTGGGTATGTGGTATGCTCCTGTAGTCTGAGCTACTCAGGAGGCTGAAACAAGAGAATCACTTGAACCTGGGAGAAGGAGGTCATGCTGGAGTCCAGCCTGGGCAATGGAGTGAGACTTTCTCAAAAAAAAAAAAAAAATCATCCTTTGACACTCTCCCAATATAACTGATGTAGACATGGGACATCAATGGATGCTAAAACCACACTGGGTGCAAGGTCAATGGGGAACAGAATATTCACACACAATTTATTCTGTAGAAGGATGGGCTCAGTACCAAAAGACTGAAACAAACAAAAAGAATGTTCGTATAATCTTGTTACTTAGTAATTACACAGGATAAAATGTACCTTTGCGATGGAACAGTCCGGTGGTGACTACTTATCAAGGTGATGAAATTTAGCATCACCAATACTAGGACATCATTGCACTTCACGGTGTACCTTTCTGATGGCTGATAAAATATGTAACCTGAATCAGTCTAAGGAAACAAGAGAACATTCAGATCATGGAATATTTTTTCTTTTTTATTTATTTATTTATTTTTAAACTTTATTTTTTAAGATGGAGTTTCGCCATGTTGGTCAGGCTGGTCTTGAACACCCGATCTCAGGTGATCCGCCCGCCTTGGCCTCCAAAGTGCTTGGGTTATAGGCGTGATGCGCCAGGCCGATCATGGAATATTTTCAAGTCAACTTGCCTGGATTCTTTCGAATATTTAGTCTAATGAAAAACAAAAGGCAGGTGGATTCTGGACTAAAGGAAGATGACCAAACACAATGCATGAAACTTGACTGGATCCTAGATTGGAAAAAAAGAATGAGGAAGAGTGCTATGATGTGGTACAGAATGATTTCAGTCTATGTTGTTATAAGTGAAAAAAGCAAGGTGAAGGTTGGGCGTGGTGGCTCATGCCTGCAATCGTAGCACTTTGGGAGGATAAAGCAGGCAGATTGCTTGAGCCCAATTTTGAGTCCAGCTTGTGGAACATGACGAAACCCTGTAAAATGCCCTAGCTAGGACAACTGGGGAAATTTAAGTGCGGACTCTATGTTAAATAATATTGACTTACTCTGAAAAAAAAAAAAAAAATACTGACTTCCCAAAGATGTGATAAAGGTACTTCTGTTTGGTAGTATGGTTTTTAGAGGTGAAGAACAATATGCCCGTAACCCACTTTCAAATGGTTTAGAAAAACAAAAACCCTAGCAAAATGTTAACAACTGTCAGCCCAGGTGAAGCGTCAGCTGTTCATTTTACTAAGCTTTCACATTCTCCGAAATAAAACGTTTGGGGGAAAAAATAATGTTTTTGAGGCGGGCTGGAGTGCAGGGGCCCGTTAATAGCTCACACTGCAGTCTCTTAACTCCACGCTCTCACCTCAGAGCCGCCAGCAACTCGGACTACAGGCACTTTCCACCACGTCCGGCTAGTTTTTATTTTGTGTAGAGATGGAGTCTCGCTTTCTTGCCCAGGCTGGTCTCAGACTCGTGGGCTCAAGCAATCCTCTCACCTCGGCCTCTCAAAGTGCTGGAATTACAGGCGTGAGCCACCACGCCCGGTCAAAAAATAAATATTTAGGGAAAAATGTGTATTCAAAACAAGCAACCTGCAAAGGTACATTCGGCACACTAGGGGACTGCCTGCGCAATTTACGGCTAATCTCCCTTCCGAACGCAGCGGCACAAAGACGGTTCCTATCCTTACTTCCGTGTATTGTGGCGCAGTAACCCGAGGTTGCCAGCACGTAAGCCACGTGACCCCAGCAGCTCCTTCTAATTGGAGGAAGAGCCGCTGATGTAATTAGGTGCGTGAGAAAGCTCGCTCACAGAGCGGTGGGAGCGGGCGGGACTGAATATTGTCTTTGACCAACCGCTTAACAGACATCCGGCCTCCTGATCCCGTAGCGGCGAATCAAAAGCCGCTAGTAAAGTAGTGCGCCATTTCTTCTTTCTCTTAGGATAGTCGGTCTTTCCGGTTTTTTTTTTGGTTTTGTTTTGTGTGTGTACGCGGTTTTTTTTCCTTTCATTCTGCTTCCGGTGGAAGCTGGTAGGGTAAGGGAGCTCAGTGAGTCACTTCTGGGCGACTGTTGTTTTATTTCCGGTCTATGGGACCCGGCTGCGATTTGCTGCTGCGGGCAGCAGCTACCATCTCTCCTACCGCCATCATGTCAGACACGGATAGCGACGAAGATTCCGCTGGAGGCGGCCCATTTTCTTTAGCCGGTTTCCTTTTCGGCAACATCAATGGAGCCGGGCAGCTGGAGGGGGAAAGCGTTTTGGATGATGTGAGGAGTTGGGCGTGGGGATGGTGCGGCTAAGCAGAGTAAGGAGGTGCCGGGAGGAAAGGAGAGGGTGTTCAGGCAGCGAGAACAGAGGGCGCAGCTAACGCCGGGCAGGAGGATCCCGTCATAGTGGGTGCGGGGGCAGTGTGGCGTGGGGGTGATCAGTTTTGGGCGAGGAGGGGCAGAAGAGAGCGTAAGGCGAGCCCGGGACCAGGGGCGCGGGGGATGGTGGCTTTGGAGCTAGCGCTCTGCGGACGAGCTAGCGCTCCGCGGACCAGCTAGTAGGACACACGCTCCTTTCGCTTACTGAGCTGGCTTCCCACCCGTAACCTTGATTGGAGATTCGTGACACTGCCTGCCCTTCTGACATCACTGACCTGAGATGGCTCTATAGGACCGGAGGGCTGAACAGGAGCTCCCCGCTCGTTTGGTTCCAGCCCCAGGCTTAAGACAAGGGGTGTTCCCAGCACCCTAGCGGGCCTCCTGGTCCCAATGCACGTTTTAGGTGATTCTCCCAGCGCCTTCGCTGACATCCGTGAAACAGTGTCTTGCGCCCAAGTGAAACTCCCCGCCTTCACTTAGGCCCGTTTTCTTGAGTGGTAAAGCTGTCGACCGCCGTGGCCCCTTCTGTGCCGCAGGCGCCCGCGAAACGTGGCCCGGACGAGCTCCTCCTTGCTGCTCCCGATGCCACTGACCTCCCTGCCTCGGCCTTTATTCCGAGAACGACTGTTCCATTCGTTCAGTCCTGGTAGTGGTTCTTTGATTCGTCTTCTCTTGTAGTAGTATGAAGTGTGGAGGATGCAGTTGGCCTTGGTGTTGTAATAACGATCTGATTGATGCCTAGTTTGGTATATGTATATTACACTTCTTGAACGTGTTGCTCTTTTTGGCACACTGTAGAGACCTTTTTCATGTGGTTTTATGACTTTGTCGTGGTCTAGGGAAATAAGCCCTGCGGTGTGGGAATGGTAGGTTTAGTTGTTACCTTCAACTCTGGTGCTGTCCCTTTTTCAGGAGTGTAAGAAGCACTTGGCAGGCTTGGGGGCTTTGGGGCTGGGGAGCCTGATCACTGAACTCACGGCAAGTGAAGAATTGGCCGGGACTGACGGTGCCTTGGTAAATGATGAAGGTGAAGTCTGGGTTGTGGGGAGTAGGCGGGGGAGGTGGCTGGCCACTTACTATACATGTGCTGTGTGTGTGTGTGTGTGTGTGTGTGTGTGTGTGAGACGGAGTCTTTGTGGCCCAGGCTGGAGTGCAGTGTGCGATCTGGGTTGACTGCAGCCTCTGCCTCCTGGATTCAAGCAATTCTGTCTCAGCCTCCCGAGTAGCTAGGACTACAGGCACGCGCCACCACGCCCGGCTAATTTTTGTATTTTTAGTAGAAAAGGGGTTTCACCATATTGATCAGGCTGATCTCGATCTCCTGACCTCAGGTGATCCACCCGCCTGAGCCTCCCAAAGTGCTGAGATTACAGGTATGAGCCACCGCAGCCAGCCTGTATATGTACTTTTAAATAGGATTTATCTGAGGGACTGAGGGTCACTGCTGTTGTTGAGTTTCTCCCTGCTTTTTCATAGGGTGGATTAGGAGTACAGAAGATGCTGTGGACTATTCGGACATTAATGAGGTGGCAGAAGATGAGAGTCGAAGATACCAGCAGACGATGGGGAGCTTGCAGCCCCTTTGCCACTCAGGTGATTCTTTGGTGTCATGGTTTGAGCATTCCAGTTTTGCTGTATAGTCCAGTATGGGCTCTCGTTTCCATGCCTGCTGTTTGCCATTATTACTGTTCTCTATGCCTTTGCTTTGCTTCTCTCCCTTTATCAGATTAGTTCCAAGTAGCTGTCGTCGTTTTTTTTGTGTTCTGGCCAGTCTTAACCATACTTAATGAGGTTATTCCTCGTACTGTTCAGCCCTGAATTCTTGGTTAATTCAGGTAGCTTCCTTGTCACCTGGTATTTGAGTATCTACAGGGTTTGTTGGAAACTATGAAACATATTCAGTCTTTGCCCTCAAGGAATTAATAATTCAAGAAGGATACGACATCATATATAAACGATGAACTAAGGCACGCCTGTAACCCAGCGTGGGTGGATCATATCTGAGATCTGGAGTTTGAGACCAGCCTGATCAACGTGGAGAAATCCTGTCTCTACTAAAATATACAAAATTAGCCAGGTGTGGTGACACATGCCTGTAATCCCAGCTGCTTGGGAGGCTAAGGCAGGAGAATTGCTTGAACCCAGGAGGCGGAGGTTGTGGTGTGCAGAGATGGTACCATTGCACTCCAGCCTGGGTAACAAGAGTGAAACTCCGTCTGAAAAACAATGAACTTTTTTTTTTTTTGAGACAGGTTGTCTCGCTCTGTTGCCCAGGCTAGAGTGCAGTGGCATGAACTTGGCTCACTGCAACCTCTGCCTCCTGGTTTGAAGTGATTCTCCTACTTCAGCCTCCCGAGTAGCTGGGATTACAGGTGCTTGCCACCACACCCAGCTACTTTTTTGTGTTTTTAGTAGATAAGGGGTTTCTCCATGTTGGCCAGGCTGGTTTCAAACCCCTGACCTCAAGTGATCTGCTTCCCTAAGCCTCGGTAAGTGTTAGGATTACAGGTGTGAGCCACCACATGGGGTCCAAAGCAATTAACTTAATACTTGCTTGCAAATAGGTTTTTTGTCCTTGTTGGTATAAGGTGCTACATTATAGAATCAGAATGTCAGACTTAGAAGGTAGAGTCAGTAAGTGGAAGGAGTCTTAGCAATTATTTATTCGTAATCTCTAATAGGAAAGGAAAACTTGAACTTTAGAGAACTTTACAATAAAATGTGGAATTTTATCAAAAGTAATACAGTTAGCTAGTGGTAGACTCTAACTTAACTTCATTAGACATTGTTTGAGCACTTACTGTGTACTCTAAACTGTGATAGGCTGTGTGTTTCACAGATAATGAGGTCGGCTGGGTGTGGTGGCTTAGGCCTGTAATCTCAGCACTTCAGGAGGCTGAGGCAGGCAGATCACTTGAGGCCAGGAGTTTGAGACCAGCCTGGCCAACATGGAGAAACCTCGTCTCTACTAAAAATACAAAAATTAGCTGGGCATGTTGGTGCACACCTGTAGTTCCAGCTACTGGCGAAGCTGAAGTATGAGGATCGCTTGAACCCAGGAGGCGGAGGTTGCAGCGAGCTGAGGTCTCACTGCTGCATTCCACCCTGGGCGACAAGAGTCAGACCCTGTCTCAAAAAAAGGTAATGAATTACATTTTCTGATCTTGAGAATTAGTGGTCTGGAATCTAGGGCTATTGGTCCATAGTTCATTCTTTGCACTGCTCTGTTCTCTCACTGCTTGAAACTTTTTTTTCTTCTCCTGAGACGGAATCTCGCTGTGGCACCCAGGCTGGAGTGTGGTGGTGCAATCTCGGCTCACTGCAACGCCTTACCTGGTTCAAGTGATTCTCCCGCCTCAGCCTCCCCAGTAGCTGGACTACAGGCATGTACCACCACACACAGCTAATTTTTTTTGTATTTTTATTAGAGAGACGAGGTTTCGCCATGTTGGCCAGGCTGGTCTCAAACACCTGACCTCAGGTGATCTCCCACCTCAGCCTCCCAAAGTGCTGGGATTACAGGCGTGAGCCACTGCACCCGGCCTGCCTGCAATTTTTATATGAAGTTGCTTGTTATTTATTCATTATCCACCTCTTTGAACTAGATTTCAGTCTGCTGATAAATGAGGATAAAACTTTGGTAAATACTTGAACTTAGTTTTTTTGGGACCCATTAGTGGATTTGAGTGCTGTTTATATGAAAAGAATTAACTGTACTGCATATATAAGAATTAACCTATGAAAAATGAAAGATATAAGCCCTACCTTTAAGAATATTATCTTGTGGAAAAGATGACATAAACAAATGCAAAACAATTATTCATAGTAAGACAAACCAACTGTGAGCTCATGTTTCTGTATATAGAGTGTTACATTTAGTTTTGATGAGCTGCCAGAATAGGTAAGTCAACAGCTGTCATTTTTGAGCACCCTTACTGAGGGGAGATGGTGGCAGTTACTACTTTCAGTAGAAGTTATAATTTCTAGGTTTGTGTTTGTTGTCTTGACTGGGGATGGTAAGGAAAAGGCTGGGAGTTTCCCTAGGTCAGTTTTATGAGGTAACTTTCTGGAAAAGGAGGATGCTACATTTGATGGAATCTCAGTACTCTGGGATGCTGATTTCCAAGTTCTCTTGTCCTCTGGAGTGTCTTCACCTATACCCTTAGCTTCTTCCTTCCTTCGTATTGGCTCCTTTGCATGGCTTGATTTTCAAGGGTGCTTCTTTGGAGTAATTGTAAGTGGGTGTAGATTGTTAATACAGTTTTCATGGAGGTGAATTTTGAGTAAAATTTTGAAGGTGAGGCACGGTTTGGTGGAGAAGGAGCAGCAGGGTATTTTGGTTTGGAAACATGGCTTATTTAAAGGTTTGGAGATAATTAGAAATAAGCAAGTAGTGTGTATTGAGGGGGTTTTTGGTCAGTAAGTTTTCTTGAAAGGAGTAGAAAACATTGCAAGAACCAAGGCTAGAGCAGTTTCACAGTACCTTTCTGTATGCATTACTTTGGATTTGATGCCATAAGGAATTGTAAACCAATATAGATTGTTGAGTGAAAGGTAGGATGGTATAATGAAAAGAAAAGGACTTTGGAGTCAAAGTGTCCTAGGCTTAGAATGTCATAGGTTCAAATTCCAACTCCATATTTAGTATGACCCTGAGCAGGTTGCTCAATCTTTGAGGCTTGGATTTCTCATTTGTAATAATTTCTCAGTTTTCTTGTCTGTAGTAAAGGTGATTATAGTTACATTAATAATACTTTTGTGAGATTTAAGTTCATTATCACATGATGTGAAAGAACATAGTATAATATTATGGTAGCCGGGCGCCGTGGCTCACACCTGTAATCCCAGCACTTTGGGAGGCCGAGGCGGGTGGATCACGAGGTCAAGAGATCGAGACCATCCTGGTCAACATGGTGAAACCCCCGTCTCTACTAAAAATACAAGAAATTAGCTGGGCATAGTGGCGCGTGCCTGTAATCCCAGCTACTCAGGAGGCTGAGGCAGGAGAATTGCCTGAACCCAGGAGGCGGCGGTTACGGTGAGCCATTGCACTCCAGCCTGGGTAAACAAGAGTGAAATTCCGTCTCAAAAAAAAAAAAATTATGGTAAATGCTTTGTAAATGTTAGTTGGCTTTCCTTTTTTCTGCTTTGCTAGTTTACAGTTTTAGAGGCTTCCCTTTCTGATGCTTTCAAAGAGTGATATTTGTTACTCTGGGGTTTTGATTAGTAAAAGAGTGAATGTCACACCAATTTGGAGGCTGTTCTTGCAGGCTAGAGATGTAAAGTTATTAAGGTCTGAAGTAGAATGACAGTTGTAGAAAATGGTAGCTAGGGTCAAACTTAGAAGTTACTGATAAAGCACCACAGGACTTGGTTGCCTATAGTAGTCCTAGCTACTCAGGAGGCTGTGGTGGGAAGGTAACTTGAGCCCAGGAGTTGGAGGTTGCAGTGAGCTATGATTGAGCCTCTGTGTTCCAACCAGGGCAACAAGCAAGACCCCTGTCTCAAAAAAAAAGGACTTGGTCAGTGAGGAATTGTGATAAAGTATAGGCTTTGTTGTTAAACCAGGCTTGCATTCTGATTTTGTCACTTAAAGCTGTGTGTGATTCAGTCCCTTCCATATCTCAGGATAATTCCTGTTTCGAAGTGACACTGGGAAGATTATATATAAAACACCTAGAAATGCCTGGCATATAATGGAAGTTTAATAATAGGAAGTTGCTATACTTTTTTTTTTTTTGAGTCTTGCTGTGTTGCCCAGGCTGGAGTGCAATGGCACAATCCCAGCTCCCTGTAACCTTTGCTTCCCAGGTTCAAGTGATTCTCCTGCCTCAGCCTCCTGAGTACCTGGGACTACAGGCCTGTGCCACCTTGCCTGGCTGATTTTTTGTATTTTAGTAGAGACTGGGTTTCACTGTGTTGCCTAAGCTGGTCTTGAACTTCTGAGCTCAGGCAATCTGCCCACTCAGCCTCCTAAAGTGCTGGCATTACAAATGATCAATTGGACAAATGTATATTGGGGCTTAAGAGATTGATGAAGGAGACAGTGGACTAAAGTCCTAAGCTGGGACAATGAGGATGGATGTGATATTGATAGTAACAAGGGAATTTAAAAGAAATAAAGGATATTTCAGTGTTTTAGAAGGTACAGTTGTTAAATATCTGAGCAGAAAGATTCTTTAGGAAGCAGAAGAGTGGTGGAATTGTAGAGGAGGTATTAGGGCCGCATATGTAGATTTGGGTTTAATCTAGGTGAAGGTGATTCTTTTTTTCTTTTTGAGACAGAGTCCCACTCTGTTGCCCAGGCTGGAGTGCAATGGTGCCATCTTTGCTCACTGCAACCTTCGACTCCTGGGTTCAAGCAATTCTCTTGCCTCAGCTTCCCGAGTAGCTGGGATTACAGGCGACTACCACAATGCCCGGCTGATTTTTTTGTATTTTTAGTAGAGATGGCATTTCTCCGTGTTGTCCAGGCTGGTTTTGAACTCCTGACCTCAGGTGATCCCGCCTGCCTTGGCCTCCCAAAGTGCTGAGAGTACAGGTGTGAACCACCATGCCCAGCCAGGTGATTCTTGAGAAAGGGAATAGGGAATGTGTAGGGGAATAAAAGCAGAGTCTTCAGGACCAAGTCTTGAGTGATGCCAGTGGTTAAAGGGCTGTGAAAAGAGTAATAAACTGCAGATAGTAGACAGAAAAAGTGTGTAATCTCTCATTTGAGACATGAGAAGAAAGACCAATCTTACAGGAAACTGACAAAGTAAGAAGATTCAATTCAGTTATGAGATCGAACAGTATTTTATTTATTTTTTTTTTTTGAGATGGAGTCTTGCTCTGTCACCCAGGCTGGAGTACAGTGGCATGATCTCAGTTCACTGCAACCTCTGCCTCCTGGGTTCAAGCTATTCTCCTGTCTCAGCTTCCCCTAGTAGCTGGGATAACAGGTGCCCACAACTATGCCTGGCTAATTTTCGTATTTTTAGTAGAGACAGGGTTTCGCCATGTTTTCAGACTGGTCTCAAACTCCTGACCTCAGGTGATCCACCGCCTTGGCCCCCAAAGTGCTGGGATTATAGGTGTGAGCCACCGTGTCTGGCCCAGTATGAAAATTGTAAAAAATATGTGGTCAGGTGGCCGGGCTTGGTGGCTCACGCTTGTAATCCAAGCACTTTGGAGGCCAAGGCGGGCGGATCACCTCAGGTTGGGAGTTCAAGACCAGCCTGACCAACATGGTGAAACCCTGTCTTAAAAAAATTTTTTTTTTTTAGTTTAAACAATTAAAATATATGTGTGTGTGTGTGTGTGTGTGTGTGTGTGTGTATGTGTGTGTGTGGTCAGGAAAGGAGCAAAGGTTTCAAACAGCTCTTGGAAGCTCTTTCATATGTTTTATGATTTTTTTTTTCAAATTTGAGACGAAGTCTCACTCTGTTGCCAGGCTGAAGTGTAGTGGCGCGATCTCCGCTCACTGCAGTCTTTGCCTCCTGGGTTCAAGCAGTTCTCTTGCCTCAGCCTCCTGAGTAGCTGGGACTACAGGCATGTGCCACCACTCCCAGCTAAGTTTTTGTGTTTTTAGTAGAGACGGGGTTTCACCATGTCGACCAGGAGGGTCTTAATCTCTTGACCTCGTGATCTGTCTGCCTCGGCCTCCCAAAGTGCTGGGATTACGGGTGTGAACCACAGCACCTGGCCTTTTTTTTTTTTTTTTTTTTGAGACACAGTTTTACTCGGTTACCCAGGCTGGAGTGCAGTGGTGCAGTCTTACCTCACTGCAGCCTCCGCCTCCCGATTCAAGTGATTCTCGTGCCTCATCCTCCCAAGTAGCTGAGATTACAGGCACATGCCACCACTCCTGGCTAATTTTTTTTTTTGTTCTTTTTTTTTTTTTTTTGGAGACGGAGTTTCGCTCTTGTTACCCAAGCTGGAGTGCAGTGGCACGATCTCAGTTCACCGCAACCTCTGCCTCCTGGATTCAAGCAATTCTCCTACCTCAGCCTCCTGAGCAGCTGGGACTACATGCTGCACCACCATGCCCAGCTAATTTTTTTTTGTATTTTTAGTAGAGACGGGGTTTCACCATGTTGACCAGGATGGTCTCGATCTCTTGACCTAGTGATCCATCCGCCTCGGCCTCCCAAAGCGCTGGGATTATAGGCGTGAGCCACCGCACCCGGCTAATTTTTTTTTTCATATGCCCAGGCTTGAGCGCAATGGTGCCATCTCTGCTCACTGCAACCTCCATCTCCTGGGTTCAAGTGATTCCCCAGCCTTAGCCTTTGAGTAGTTGGGATTATAGGCGCCCACCACCATGGCCAGCTAATTTTTATATTTTTAGTAGAGATGGGGTTTTACCATGTTGGCCAGGCTGGTCTCGAGCTCCTGACCTCAGGTAATCTGCCCATCTCAGCCTCCCAGAGTGCTAGGATTACAGGTGTCAGCCACTGCGCCCGGCCAATTTTTGTATTTTTGGTAGAGACGAGGTTTCGTCATGTTTGCCAGGCTGGTCTCAGAACTCCTGACCTCAGGTGATCTGCCCGCCACAGCCTTCCCAAAGTGCTGGTGTGAGCCACCATCCCCAGCCATCCTATCTTGTATGAAATATATGTTTTTAAATTAATTAATTAATTTTTTTGAGATGGAGTTTCACTCTTGTTGCCCAGGCTGGAGTGTAGTGGCACGATCTTGGCTCACTGCAACCTCCACCTTCTGGGTTCAAGTGATTGTCCTGCTTCAGCCTTCTGAGTAGCTGGGATTATAGACACCCGCCATGATGCCCAGCTAATTTTTTGTATTTTTAGTAGAGATGGGGTTTTATCGTGTTGGCCAGGCTGGTCTCGAACTCGTAACCTCAGGTGATCCACCTGCCTCAGCCTCTCAAAGTGCTGGGATTACAGATGTGAGCCACTGTGCCTGGCCTTGTGTGAGATATTATACATACTGTTACAGCAATTGACTTGCACCTTGACATCATCTCTTTCTGAAGTTTAAAGCTGCATTTTGTGTGTGTGTGTGTGTGTGTGTGTGTCAACTATTTTGAGGCAGGGTCTTGCTCTGTCACATGATTACTGCTCATCAAAGCCTTGACCTCCTGTGCTCAAACTGTCCTCCCACCTCAGCCTCCTGAGTAGCTGGTTCTATAGGCGTGTGCCATCACACCTGGCTAATTTTTGTATTTTTTGTAGAGATGGGGTTTCTCCATGTTGTCTAGGCTGATCTTGAGCTGCTGGGCTCAAGCGATCTGCCCATCTTAGCCTCCCAAAGTGCTGGGATTACAGGTGTGAGCGACCATGCCTGGCCCTTACCTTGCTTTTTTCACTGTGTGTTCTTAAGGGATATGTATAGTGTTTCATGTGGTGATTTGAGTTCTTGAGTGGCAAGGAAGCTTAAGGCAGTTAGTTGTATAATGTTTTGGATATTGGGAAGATCACATTCTTGCGTTTTTTAGATTATGATGAAGATGACTATGATGCTGATTGTGAAGACATTGATTGCAAGTTGATGCCTCCTCCACCTCCACCCCTGGGACCAATGAAGAAGGATAAGGACCAGGATGCTATTACTGGTGGTAAGTAGAAGTAGAAATTGTCTACTTTTGTCCTAGGAGCAAGTTTCCATTCATAAGTCCAGGCTTGCGACACACACATAAGGGACAAACTTAAGCTTATACGAAAGGACAAAACTTTTAGAAATAATTCATATAATTTCAAATTTTAGTATAAAAGGGAAGTTTACTTTTAAAACACTTGGCAACAGTATTTTCACATATGCTCAAGAAGTAGTAGTTTAGTCAGTGCTTCTCACATCTGGCTACCCATCAGAATCACTTAAGAGTATTTTTTTTTTTCTTTTTGAAACGGAGTCTCACTCTGTTGTCCAGGCTATAGTGCAGTGGCCCGATCTTGGCTCACTGCAACCTCTGCCTCCTGGGTTCAAGCAATTCTCCTGCCTGAGCCTCCCAAGTAGCTGGGATTACAGGTGCCCCACCACCATGGCCAGCTAAATTTTGCATTTTTAATAGAGACAGGGTTTCACTGCATTGGCCAGGCTGGTCTTAAACTCCTGACCTCAGGTGATCCGTCCGCCTTGGCCTCCTAAAAAGTGCTGTGATTACAGGAGTGAGCCACTGCACCCAGCCCACTTAAGAGTCTTTAAAACAGCTGGATGTGGTATTTTAGCTGATAAAACACCTTAACACTCCTGGCTGCCAAACAATCTTAATGTTGTCCTGTGGATTTAAAAAAATTCTCCAGCTCATAGGTCTCTGAACTAGGACTACCTGACTGGTATTAAGTAATTTTGCTATTGGTCACAACATTGGTTACAATATGGGTCCCTAAACAGAAAGTAGGGCCAGGCATGGTGGCTCACACCTGTAATCCCAGCATTTTGGGAGGCCAAGATGGGCAGATCATTTGAGGTCAGGAGTTTGAGACCAGCCTGGCCAAGATGGTGAGACCCCCATGTCTCTACTAAAAATACAAAAATTAGCAGGCATGGTGACATATGCCTGTAATCCCAGCTACTCGGGAGGCTGAGGCAGTAGAATCACTTGAACCTGGGAGACAGAGGTTTCAGTGAGCTGAGATCTCACCACTGCACTCCAACCTGTGCGACAGAGCAGAACTCTGTCTCAAAAAAACAAAACAAAACGGAAAGTAGTAAACGTAGTAATAGTGTTTGTTTTCTCATCACAACCCTAGGGTACCAGGTACATGGTGAGTTGGGGGTTGATGGGAGATAAGTTGGAATGAGTTTTCTGGGTTGCATACTAGTATTATGATTTGGGTGCTAGGTACTATATCTCCTGGCATGGAGCTATGTGTATAGCCTAAAGTGGATGTTTGTGGAATTTGAGGACATATGTTCACAGTTACATGCCAAAGGGGTTTCTCTTCCTTGTTGCAGTGTCTGAAAATGGAGAAGGCATCATCTTGCCCTCCATCATTGCCCCTTCCTCTTTGGCCTCAGAGAAAGTGGACTTCAGTAGTTCCTCTGACTCAGAATCTGAGATGGGACCTCAGGAAGCAACACAGGCAGAATCTGAGGATGGAAAGCTGACCCTTCCTTTGGCTGGGATTATGCAGCACGATGCCACCAAGTTGTTGCCAAGTGTCACAGAACTTTTTCCAGAATTTCGACCTGGAAAGGTATGTTCTATGGAGAATACCTACATTGCAAACCATTGACCTCTTCCAAATAATGAGTTTTGTTGTTAAGATGCTGAGTATGGAGGTTTTCACTCTGTTAAGTTGTCATCTTTTTTTTTTTTTTTTTTTTTTTGGAGACCGTGTCTTTTTTCTGTCACATAGGCTGGAGTGCAGTGGCACTGTCTCAGCTCAGTGCACCCTCCACCTCCTGCATTCAGGTGATTCTCCTTCCTCAGCCTCCGGAGTAGCTGGGGTTACAGGCACCCGCCACCACGCCTGGCTAATTTTTGTATCTTAGTAGAGATGGAGTTTCACCATGGGTCTTGAACTCCTGACCTGGTGATCTACACGCCTTAGCCTCCCAAAGTGCTGGGATTATAGGCGTGAGCCACCACGCCCAGCCCAGGTCTTTTTTTAAAAGTTGTATATATTTTTAGTAAATAGGTCTTATGCTGTTTGGAAATTTCCCTGTTATCTTAAAAGAAGTAGTCTAGGCCAGGCGTGGTGGCTCACACTTGTAGTCCCAGCACTTTGGGAAGTCAAGGTGGGTGGATTACCTGAGGTCAGGAGTTTGAGACCAGTCTGGCCAACATGGTGAAACCCCTGTCACTACTAAAAAACACAAAAATTAGCTGGGCGTGGTGGCATGTGCCTGTAATCACAGCTACTCAGGAGCCTAAGACAGGAGAATCGCTGGAACCCGGGAGGTGGAGGTTGCAGTGAGCCGAGATCACACCACTGCACTCCAGCCTGGGTGACAGAGCAAGACTCCATCTCAAAAAAACAAAAACAGAAAAAAGAAGTCCAAATTATTAAGGAAACTCCTTTACTTTCTTAGATGTTACAAATCTGAATGCGGCACTCCTTTATTTCTCCCCCACAATTGAGTAGGTCTCAAGGGAGTTTTCGGGTCCAGATGATGCTGTTTTCCTATCTGACTTTGAGTCTCTGTCATAGTAATGTGTTCTGTGTTCTAGGTATTACGCTTCCTACGTCTTTTTGGACCAGGGAAGAATGTCCCATCTGTTTGGCGGAGTGCTCGGAGAAAGAGGAAAAAGAAGCACCGAGAGCTGATACAGGAAGAACAGATCCAGGAGGTGGAATGCTCAGTAGAATCAGAAGTCAGCCAGAAGTCTTTGTGGAACTATGACTATGCTCCACCACCGCCTCCAGAGCAGTGTCTCTCTGACGATGAAGTAGGCAAAGTAGAGACCTGGGATTAAGGCCTATGAGAGGAACAAATGAATTCAGTGAATTCTCCCTAGCTTATTTCTAAATTGTAAATAGCATCATAGCAGGTAGAATTCTGTGCTAATTCTCAATGAGCAATCATGGTTTCAGTCTCAGTGGCTGCTCCTTCCCTGTTTGGGAAGAAAAATGTTTGGTGGGGTAGTCGGGGATGAGAGGGGTGTTTGGTGATATGCTGCTGAAAAGGTTTGATTGATAGGTGGAATGTGCTATGATACACCTCCATTGTTTACATTCTAACTCCAGATAAATCATCCTCAGTTTCTCCAAGTTCCCCTCCTGACTGTTAACTCTCTATAGCCTTAGGATATCTGGGATCAGAAAATTCTCCCTGCTCTACTTCTGTTACAGATCACGATGATGGCTCCTGTGGAGTCTAAATTTTCCCAATCAACTGGGGATATAGATAAAGTGACAGATACTAAACCAAGAGTGGCTGAGTGGCGTTATGGGCCTGCCCGACTGTGGTATGATATGCTGGGTGTCCCTGAAGATGGCAGTGGGTTTGACTATGGCTTCAAACTGAAAAAGACAGAACATGAACCTGTGATAAAATCTAGAATGGTAGAGGTGAGTAACACTGGTATGTAAAAAAAGAATCAGTGTACTCAGGGTCCTATCACTTTTACTGACTTTACATTTTAATTGGGGAGATATTGGGTAGGGTTTCTTTGGTGGGAGATTTAGGTATCTCAGCCTTTTAATTTGGTGTGATATGTCACCCTGGTAACTAGGCCCTATTCTAAGGATTCTGTTTGTGAAATGAGTGCTGTGCCAGATTAGGAGTAGGAAGAGGCAAATATTCCTCCATTATCAGGTGGTTGTTTCAAGTAAAGGACCACATATAACAAAAAGTAATAAGAAAAAAAAGACCACTTATGATGTGTCTAATATATCTCTAATGTGGACACTTTGACCAGTGACCATTCAAGAATATGTTTTTCCTTCCCTACTTCTACAGGAATTTAGGAAACTTGAGGAAAGCAATGGCACTGATCTTCTGGCTGATGAAAATTTCCTGATGGTGACACAGCTGCATTGGGAGGATGATATTATCTGGGATGGGGAGGATGTCAAGCACAAAGGGACAAAACCTCAGCGTGCAAGCCTGGCAGGCTGGCTTCCTTCTAGCATGACTAGGAATGCTATGGCTTACAATGTTCAGCAAGGTGTGCTTCTGTGCGAACTGTGTCTAGCATATGCTGCCCTTAATCTTAGTCACCATAAGTGGGCTTAGCTGTGATTTTTTTTTTTTTGAGACAGGGTTTCCCTCTTGTTGCCCCAATGGAGTGCAGTGACACAATCTTGGCTCACCACAGCCTCTGCTTCTTAAGTTCAAGCATTCTGCCTCAGCCTCCTGAGTAGCTGGGATTGCAGTCATGCACCACCATGCCCGGCTAATTTTTGTATTTGTAGTAGGAATGGGATTTCTCCATGTTGGTCAGGCTGGTCTTGAACTCCTAACCTCAGGTGATCACCTGCTTCAGCCTCCCAAAGTGCTGGGATTACAGGCGTGAGCTACCACGCCCGGCCTGAAGTTAAATATCTTTCTGAACTATAACAGTATTTTATAGTATATTTTTGTTTCCCAAGTCCCTTTGTGTTTAGAATTTGAGAGTTTCTTTTTTTTCTCCTTAAATAGGTGTTTTTTTTTTTTTTTTTGAAGTATGCCATCCTTAATGTAAAAAATTTTGAAAATAGTATAGCATAAAAAATCACTGATAGATTTATCTGGAGATTATCAACTTAATTTTTGGTATATTTTCAATGTTCTGTGTATGTAGTTGAGCTCATTTCTGTATGTACGGTTTTGTATACTGTGCTTTTCACTTAATACTTTTTTCTCTTTTGTTTTTTATTTCTTATTGAGACAAGGTCTCACTTTGTTGCACAGACTGGTTTCAGACTCCTGGATTCAAGTGATCATTCTGCCTTGGCCTCCCAAAGTGCTGGGATTACGAGGATTACAAGCAAGAGCCATCCCACCCAGCCACATAAATAAAAATTTTTCTGTCATTTAGAGTATTTTTTTTTTTTTAACTCAGGGCAGTCAGCTTCCTCAGCTTGAACATTTAGAGTTCTTTATAAAAATGTTTAATGACATGGGAAACTCAATTTAATTAAATTACTATTTTTTGTAGAGGTAGAGTCTTGCTGTGTTGCTTAGGCTGGACTCAACTCCTGGGCTCAAGTGATCCTCCTGCCTCAGCCTCCTGAGTAGCTGAGACTTGAGGTGCATGCTACCACACCTGGCTTGAGAAACTCATTTTAAATGGAAAGAAACAAGATATGAAATAACATATAAGATACCCTATTAGTGTAAATGAAAAAAAGAAGACTGTATAAACAGAAAGCTAGATTACTTTTGTAATTTGGTGGAAAAACAAAAATGTCTAGGGTTTTTTTTTTTTTTGAGACGAGTTTCCCTAGGCTGGAATGCGTTGGCGTGATCTTGGCTCACTGTAACATCTGCCTCTTGTGTTGAAGTAATTGTTGTGCCTCAGCCTCGTGAGTAGCTGGGATTACAGGCGTGTACCACTGCCCAGCTAATTTTTGTATTTTTAGAAGAGATGGGGCTTTTACCAGGTTGGCCAGGCTGGTCTGTAACTCCTGACCTCAAGTGATTGGCCCGCCTTGGCTTCCCAAAGTGCTGGGAAGGGGTTATAGGCGTGAGCCACTGCTCCAGGATACAAAAATGTCTAATTTTTTTTTTTTTTTTTAAAGATGGGGTTTTACCACATTGGTCATGCTGGTCTCGAACTCCTGACCTCAGGTGATCCGCCCACCTCAGCCTCCCAAAGTGCTGGGATTACAGGTGTGAGCCACCACGCCCAGCCTAAATGTCTTATTTTTAAAACCTAAGACATAAGGTTTTTCCCTTTCATTCTGCTCACTTTATGGGTTGTGTGTTAGTATGAAGGTTTCATAATTTATTTACTGATAGATGTTGTATTTGTTAATACAGTTGACTACCATTTATTGTTAGCATACTTTACCATATCATTTATTAATCATAATTTAACCAGTTCCTTCTTCAACATTTAGGCTATTTAAATTTCAACTATTATAAACAATATTGCAATGAACATTTTTGACTACGACATTATTTTATTGATTGATTGATAGAGATAGAGTTTCACTCTTGTTGGCTCAGGCTAGAGTGCAATGGCATGATCTCAGCTCACTGCATCCTTTGCCTCCCGAGTTCAAGTGATTCTCCTGCCTCAGCCTCCTGAGTAGCTGGGATTACAGGCATGCATTACCACGCCCAGCTAATTTTTGTATTTCTTGTAGAGACAGGATTTCTTTTTTTTTTTTTTTTGAGACGGGGTTTCGCTCTTATTACCCAGGCTGGAGTGCAATGTCATGATCTCGGCTCACCGAAACCTCCGCCTCCTGGGTTCAGGCAATTCTCCTGCCTCAGCCTCCTGAGTAGCTGGGATTACAGGCACGCGCCACCATGCCCAGCTAATTTTTTTTTTGTATTTTTAGTAGAGACGGGATTTCGCCTTGTTGACCAGAATGGTCTCGATCTCTTGACCTCATGATCCACCCGCCTCGGCCTTCCAAAGTGCTGGGATTACAGGCTTGAGCTACCACGCCCGGCCCAGAGACAGGATTTCACCATGTTGGTCAGGCTGGTCTCGAACTCCTGAGCTGAGGTGATCGACCCACCTTGGCCTCCTAAAATGCTGGGATTACAGGCGTGAGCCATGTGTCCGGCCTGCAACTTTGAGAAATAGGTGGTGTGGGTTCCTTTTTAGTGGGCACATGAGTAACTCTACTAACATTGACCTTTTTTTATCTTTGTCAGAATCTTGATTGAAAGGGGCATAAATGTTTTCTGTTACTATGTTCTCCTTGTGTTTTAACTAGGTTTTGCAGCCACTCTGGATGATGACAAACCTTGGTACTCCATTTTTCCCATTGACAATGAGGATCTGGTATATGGACGCTGGGAAGACAATATCATTTGGGATGCTCAGGCCATGCCCCGGCTGTTGGAACCTCCTGTTTTGACACTTGATCCCAATGATGAGAACCTCATTTTGGGTATATTACTGGCAGAGGCCAGTGTTCTTTCTCCCTGGGCAACTTGCTGTTAATGTCAAGGGACAGGAGGAAATCAGAAGGGTTGGAGAAGATTAGGACTAGAAACTTCTAGGTAGCAGCTTGAGAGAGCGAAGTTTTGGCTGTTCATATTACTTGTGTATATGCTTAGGGAACACTCATGTAGGAATGTTGGAAAGTTGTAACTGAGATGTCAAGAGTATAGTGTATTCAGTTAGTGAATCATGGACTAGAAACTTCTAGGTAGCAGTTTGAGAGAGCAAAGTTGTGACTTTATATTTTTTGTGTATTTCTTAGGGAAAATTCATGTAGGAATATTGGAAAGTAGTACTTTTGAGATAACAAGTGTATGGTTCAGTTAGTGAATCACGGACTAGAAGTGATTTAGGTTGGGATGAAAGATACAGGTGTAGTTCAGTTAGTAAATCATGGACTGGAAGTGATCTGGGGTGAGATGAAAGACCTAGTTAAGAACTTCATTGGGACATCCACCACCTTAAAAAAGAAAACTGGAAACTTGGCTGTAGGAAAGGTGAATATTCAGGGATAGCAACTCAAGTGATTTTTGTTTTATCCTCAGAAATTCCTGATGAGAAGGAAGAGGCCACCTCTAACTCCCCCTCCAAGGAGAGTAAGAAGGAGTCATCTCTGAAGAAGAGTCGAATTCTCTTAGGGAAAACAGGAGTCATCAAGGAGGAACCACAGCAGGTGTGTGAAGAAAAAAGGGTCTTGGTGTTTAGAACAAAGAAAGGTAATAGGGAAGGGTAGTCTGACTAAGATTTGTTTGATTATCTATCATTAGAACATGTCTCAGCCAGAAGTGAAAGATCCGTGGAATCTCTCCAATGATGAGTATTATTACCCCAAGCAACAGGGTCTTCGAGGCACCTTTGGAGGGAATATTATCCAGGTACAAATAGTGTCTTCCTGTGATAGAGGAGAACCCCATGGCTTTGTTTTGACGGGAGGATATGGGAAAATCTTATTTAGGCTGGAATTAGCTAATTTTAACCCTTCTGTTTCCTGTTTTAGCACTCAATTCCTGCTGTGGAATTACGGCAGCCCTTCTTTCCCACACACATGGGGCCCATCAAACTCCGGCAGTTCCATCGCCCACCTCTGAAAAAGTACTCATTTGGGGCACTGTCTCAGCCAGGTCCCCACTCAGTCCAACCTTTGCTAAAGCACATCAAAAAAAAGGCCAAGGTATAGTTCAATTCTGGTTAGAAAACAGCTACAAAGGATATTGGGATATAAATTAGGAAAATGTACCGGATATTAGATGGTATTAGGGAATTTGTTATTAGATGTGATAGAATGTTATTTTGGTTATTTAGGAGAGAATGTCTTTATTGTTAAGTGATGCTTGTGAAAATATTTAAAGGTGAGGCGTCACAATGACTGTATCTTTCAAAAATCATCTAGCAGAGTCTATAGAAAGATACAGGTTTTTAAAAAATGGCAAAATATAAACAGTTATGTGGGATAATAAGGGTTCATAGTATAGTCGTCCTTAGGTATCCATGGGAGATTGGTTCTAGGACCTCCTCTGGATACCAAAATGTTTAGATGTTCCTGTCTCTGATATAATAGCATAATATTTGCACATAACCTATGCACATCCTCTCTTATACTTTAAATCATCTCTAGATTACCTATAATATCTACTCCAATGTAAATGCTATGTGAGTAGTTTTTACACTGTTTAGGGAATAATGACAAGAAAAGTCTGTATCTGTTCAGCACAGATGCAGTTTTATTTTCTGAATATTTTCTATATGTGGTTGGTTGAATTCACCGATGCAGAACCCATACGTGGATATGGAGGGCTGACTGTACTATTCTTTGGACTTTACAGTATATTTGAAAATTTTCATTATGAAATTGAAAAATAGCAAGGTAAAATCTTTTTGGTATGTTTGGCTCAGATTGAACAGCTTCATTGTGTGCAGCAGTTGTCCTGTTAGGAGCTAGATAGTATTTTCTTTGTTCTGGACAGATGAGAGAACAAGAGAGGCAAGCTTCAGGTGGTGGAGAGATGTTTTTTATGCGCACACCTCAGGACCTCACAGGCAAAGATGGAGATCTTATTCTTGCAGAATATAGTGAGGAAAATGGACCCTTAATGATGCAGGTTGGCATGGCAACCAAGATAAAGAATTATTATAAACGGGTGAGTCTGCTCAGAAAATTTTTTTTATACGTATTTTGCTTATGTACAAACTTTTTGTTATTAACATAGCTGTAGTTAGAGTACTGATAATCTGTGAACACTTTTATACCATAAATTTCTTGGGAGAAAGGAGTGGTACCTTTTTTGTCATCAAATCTCAGAATTCAAAGTCAAAATCGAAAAGTTTTTGATCGCTAACATGATACTCAAAGGAAATGCTCATTGGAGCATTTTGAATTTCCAGATTTAGAATGTCCACCTGGTAAGTATAATGCAACTATTCCAAAATTCTGGTCCCAAGCATTTTGGTTAAGGGATACTCAACCTGTATTAGTAAAGTGCTATGCTCATATTGTGTAGGATTATTGATTATATTCTGTGATTAATAACTGGATCTTCTGTGTTCCTTATAGAAACCTGGAAAAGATCCTGGAGCACCGGATTGTAAATATGGGGAAACTGTTTACTGCCATACATCTCCTTTTCTGGGCTCTCTCCATCCTGGCCAATTACTGCAGGTGAGGAATTCTTTCCTATTTTTACTGTTAATGTTAACTAAGGAAATGGATAAATGAGGAGCCAGTCAGCCCAGAAAGATTATAATTCTAGTTGATTGAGATGGTTTATATATCAAGTACAAAGGACATCCATATAACCCAAAAATGTTTTAAATAAATCTTTTTCTTAAAACTGAGGGTGGCTGGGCACGCTGCGCATGCCTGTACTCCCAGCTACTTGGGAGGCTGAGGTGGGAAGATGGCTTGAGCCCAGGAGTTCTGGGCTGTAGTGCGCTATACCAATCAGATGTCCACACTAAGTTTGGCATCAATACGGTGACCTCCTGGGAGCAGAGGAACACCAGGTTGCCTAAAGAGGGGTGAACCGGCCCAGGTCAGAAATGGAGCAGGTCAAAACTCCTGTGCTGATCAGTAGTAGGATTGCGCCTGTGAATAGCCACTGCACTCCAGCCTGGGCAGCATCGCGAGACACCCCTGTCTCTTTAAAAAAAAAACAAAAACAAAAACAAAAAACCGTGAATTGTGTTATTATTAGGCTAAATATAAAATAGGTTTTTAAAAATATACACTGGTAAGCTCAGTAACATCTGGGAAGCATAAGACAGTCAATGTAGGATGAATTTACTATAATTTATGAATGTTTAATTTTTATATATAAAATTGATAACATTTTGATCATATTAGCTGTATTTTTTTGTGAATATTGAACCACAGCTAACTGTGCCATCAACAGTCCCCAGCCATAGTGAAATGCCTTTTTTTCCTCATTTGTTCTAATGCATGTAAAGAGGCCCTCTGGTAACAGCTTTTATATATTCAAGGGGGAAGTATGGTGGTCCACAAATGATGTGGAAAATCTCTAGCACGCTCCTATCTTGCTTTTTCCTCCATTTTATTTCTCTTGGCAATCTTAACCATTTGTCCTATTCTTATACCTAGTTTATTCTGTTGTTATTGTTTATTCTCCGAAAGCATCAGCAAAGCTCAGTTTTTTCTTTATCCTTTATATCCATAGTCTATTGCCTACCAGACTTTGAGTATCATCTTTATATTCTTGTTCTCTCCCTGGAACTTTCTGTTGAAGTTTTCTACCAATCTAGCCTCTTCTTTTGTGGCTACTTTTTTAGTCTCTTAAAGATCTTTTACTGTATTCTTCTGTAATTATTTTTTCTGTCTATATTTCACATTTAGAATTTTCTTTCCACACTCATAGTGATGATCTTCCCTCCTTCTGTCTACTCTTCTGATTTCCAGGAAGGCTTTCCTTAGACTCAGGCTTCTTGTGACAGTTTGATCCCTATCTGGCCTCTACTTAAACTAGCTCACATGTTTCTGTTCAGCTGTCCTCTGTCCTAATGTCTTGTTCTTTTTTTTCCAGCCTATTCTATCTAGCACTCTTTCTACCTTATTGGTTGTTTTATGATTTATTTATTTGGAGACAGGGTCTGGCTCTGTCACCCAGGCTGGAGTGCAGTGGTATGATCTTGGCTCACTGCAACTTCTGCCTCCTGGGCTCAAGCCATCCTCCCACCTCAGGCTCCCAAGTAGATGGGACAACAGGTGCATACCGCCACATCCAGCTAATTATTGTGTTTTCTGTAGAGACGGGGTTTTGTCGTGTTACCCAGGCTGGTCTTGAACTCCTGAGGTCAAGTGATCTACTCACCTCGGCCTCCCAAAGTGCTGGGATTACAGGCATGAGCCACTGTGCTCAGTGTTGTTTTATTTGTTAATTAATTCCCTAATTTATTCAACAAATGTTATTCTCATCTGTTGTATGTCGGGCTACACTGGGATCTAGAGTAGTAGTGTAGTACTTAGTACATTATAAAGTAATTTTCCCATATGTAATATTTATAGCAGTCTTGTGAGGTAGCATTTTTTTTCCCTACCTCTACCCCCAAGGTATAGGCATTTTTAAGTTATCTCTGTTTTGTAGATGAGGTAAACTAAGCTCAGACTTGTTAAATAGCTTGTCTGACATCATACAGGTAATGGCAGAGCTAGCATCATCTGAATTTACATGCTGTATTTTCTCCCCTACTGACCCTGAAGGGTAGACAGTGGATGAAAAATTGTTTAATGGTATTTGATAATCCATATTATAATTTATTTGTATTACTGGATAGACCTTAGATGGCATAATGAAGATGGAGAGCAATAAGCTTGATTTTTCTTTCTCAGTTGACTGAATTTCCTAGGACTACTCTGTATATAACTTTTGTGGTTTTACTTTTGTTAGGCATTTGAGAACAACCTTTTTCGTGCTCCAATTTATCTTCATAAGATGCCAGAAACTGATTTCCTGATCATTCGGACAAGACAGGGTTACTATATTCGGGAATTAGTGGATATTTTTGTGGTTGGCCAGCAGTGTCCCTTATTTGAAGTTCCTGGGCCTAACTCCAAAAGGGCCAATACACATATTCGAGACTTTCTACAGGTAAGAATGGGAGGATAGGGAGGGGGTTGGGTTGTATATAGAAAGGGTACGTTGGGGCCGGGTGTGGTGGCTCAGCACTTTGGGAGGCTGAGGCAAGTGGATCACTTGAGATTAGGAGTTTGAGACTAGCCTGGCCAACATGGCAAAACCCTGTCTCTACTAAAAATACAAAAATTAACCAGGTGTGGTGGCGTGTGCTTATGGTCCCAGCTACTCTGGAGGCTGAGGCAAGAAAATTGTTGGAGCTTGGTAGGCAGAGGTTGCAGTGACCTGAGGATCATAGCACTGCACTCCAGTCTGGGTAGAGACAGAGTGAGACTGTCTCAGAAAATGTGGGGTGTGTGGGTATGGGAGCACATTAGGAAAGATGAAAATACATTAGAGCTTAGCAAGGGAAGAGGCCCTAGTGAGGACTTTTATCCTTTCCTTTGCCAAAAAAAAAATACACTTGGTTTGTTGGGCAGGTTTTTATTTACCGTCTTTTCTGGAAGAGTAAAGATCGGCCACGGAGGATAAGAATGGAAGATATAAAAAAAGCCTTTCCTTCCCATTCAGAAAGCAGCATCCGGAAGAGGCTAAAGCTCTGCGCTGACTTCAAACGCACAGGTCATATGTTGTAACTAGTTATTTGTCTGCCTTTTTCCAAGAAAAGAATTTTGATGGCTTTGAGTTAAAGGATAAACATACAGTTAATAAAATAGAAATTGATGGCCGTTGAAAGGAGGTAGCAAATCTTCTAAGGCTCTGGTTGTTTTTTTGATTTTGGCTGCCAGGAAATTTAATGTGATTGTTGGATATCTTTTATGAATTGTAGGAAACTTAGCAGTAGGGGTTTTCTTTGGCCAGTCATGCCAACTGTGGCTAGGCCTGTTACAGTTTTGGTTTGCTGTCCCTGTTGCTGTCAATAAATATTAGGGCCTTTGGAATTCAGAATGGTCTCATTTTCTATGTATATGTCTTTTCCAGGGATGGACTCAAACTGGTGGGTGCTTAAGTCTGATTTTCGTTTACCAACGGAAGAAGAGATCAGAGCTATGGTGTCACCAGAGCAGTGCTGTGCTTATTATAGCATGATAGCTGCAGAACAACGACTGAAGGTGAACACCTTCCTCTTGTTCCCCGCCTGCCCCCCCCACCCCCCCCCACCAGAGAGATGAGAGAGAAGACTCTCTCTCTCACTGGCTTAGGGATGATGGTTACTAGATTATTACCAATTACTAAAAAGTTCAAGTTGTATAAAGTACTTCCTATGTCCATCAGTTCTGGAGAAAACTACAGTGTAGCTAAGTATCAGTGGGAAGGCTTAATGAGGAACTTTGCACATATTGTTTTGCTTTGAAAATGGTGACTGGGTGACTTTAATATCTTTGCACAATAAGCATATAAGCAGGGAAAGTACTTGTCAGCCTCTTAGGTGGGCACAGATGATGATGGTGCTGAATGTCTGGTTTACAGAATTCTTTCAAGGCTAAAATAGAAAAGGTCCAGCTGGGGTGGGGCAGCACAGCTCTGTCCCACTGAGTTAATGAGTCTGAGTTAATGAGCATCTCTGTTCAGCTTGTTTATTGGCTGTAACTATCTGTATATCTGCTAGTAAGCTCCTTGGCATGTGGTAATGTATCTTCTCATGGCTTAAGGATGTGCCGTGGTGTTAAGATACAGTGAAAACTTTGTGGAATCCATCTGTGCATATTCTGTACTTGCTATTCAGTAAAAAAAACTTGTGCTTTGTGTTTTTTAACTTACTGATTTATGCATGGATCTGTCCTTTCCAGGATGCTGGCTATGGTGAGAAATCCTTTTTTGCTCCAGAAGAAGAAAATGAGGAAGATTTCCAGATGAAGATTGATGATGAAGTAAGGCTTTTTACTAGTTTGTATTAGTCTTTAATACATCTCATTTGTCCTTTTAAAACAGACAACTTTGTTGAGATAAAATTAATAAACAACAAACTGTACACATTTAAAGTATGCCATCTGATGCTTCCTACTTTATCCATGTCAGCAGAAAATAGACAACTTTATTAAGATAAAATTGACGTACAGTAAACGGCACACATTTAAAGTATACTATTTGATGCCTTCCTGCTTTATTCATTTCAGAAAAGATATTTGATATGTCAAATATTTGATATGATAGGTTTTTTTTGTTTGTTTTTTTGAGATGGAGTTTTATTCTGTCACCAAGCTAGAATGCAGTGGTGTGATCTTGGCTCACTGCAACTTCCGCCTACCGGGTTCAAGCGATCTTCCTGCCTCAGCCTCCCGAGTAGCTGGGACTACAGGTGTGTGCCACCATGCCCAGCTAATTTTTTGTATTTTTATTACAGATGGGGTTTCACCATTTTGGCCAGGCTAGTCTCAAACTCCTGACCTCAACTGATACCTGCGTCTTGGCCTCCCAAAATGCTGGGATTACAGGCATGAGCTACTGTGCCTGGCAGAATTTTCATTTTCTTTTTTTTTTTTTTTTTTTTTTTTTAAGAAAAACGACTTTGACAGATTTATAAGACTCTACGTGATTTGGGACTTAATATAACTCTGACCTCCTTTCATCTCCTGTCACTGCCTGTCTTACAGTCTAAGCTCCAACCATACTGAAGTTCATTCAGTTTCTTAAATTTCTCTCTTCTTCCAGAATTTTGCAACTGTTACGTCCTCTGCTGACATTTTTTTCTCCACTCCTCTGCCATTTGACTCTCATTTACAGGTTATTTTCTCTGGGAATCTTTTCCTTTTTCCCTCATTTCACCCTGGGTTCGGATTGGATGATAATTCTCCTTTCATTATGTACATGTAGCACCTCTTTACTTTTTTTTTTTCCCCAAGACAGGGTCTTGCTTTGGTTACCCTGGCTGTACTGTGGCGAGATCACAGCTCTCCATGGCCTCAAACTCCTGGGCTCAAGCAATCCTTCTACCTCAGCCTCTCGAGTAGCTGGGACAACAGGCACACACCACCACACCCAGTTAATTGTTTACATTTTTTTGTAGAAATGGGGTCTCATGGCCTGGCGCAGTGGCTCACACTTGTAATCTCAGTGCTTTGGGAGGCCGAGGTGGGTGGATCACCTGAGGTCAGGAGTTCGAGACCAGCTTGGCCAACATGGTGAAATCCTGTCTGTACTAAAAATACAAAATTAGGCCAGGTGTGGTGGCTCATGCCTGTAATCCTAGCACTTTGGGAGGCCAAGGCGGGCGAATCACGAGGTCAGGAGTTTGAGACCAGCTTGGACAATATGGTAAAACCCCATCTCTACTAAAAATAAAAAATTAGCCAGGTGTGGTGGCACGCATCTGTAGTCTGACCTGGTCAGGAGGTTGAGGCAGGAGAATCGCTTGAACCCGGGAGGCGGAGGTTGCAGTGAGTCAAGATCGCACCACTGGACTCCATCTTGGATGATAGAGCGAGACTCTGTCTCAGAAAAAATATATATAAAATTAACCAGGCGTGGTGGTGCATGCTTGTAATCCCAGCTACTCGGGAGGCCGAGGCAGAAGAATCACTTGAACCTGGGAGGCAGAGGTTGCAGCAAGCTGAGACCATGCCATCACACTCCAGCCTGGACAAAAAGAGTGACACTTAGTCTCAAAACAAAGAAACAAAAGAAATGGGGTCTCACTGTGTTGCTCAGGCTGATCTTGAACTCCTGGGTTCAAACTATCGTCCTGCCTTGGCTTTCTAAAGTGTTGGGATTATAGGCATGAGCCACTGTGCCTGGCGTCCTTTACTTTCTTACCATGATCACATAGTGCTGAACTTGGTTTGCTGTTTTTCCCTCATTGACTTGAGGTTTATGAAAAGTAGCATGGAGTATTGTGTAGTTGGTATTCAATAAATATTTGTTAAATGAATTAAGTAATTATAAAATGAAGCAGAAAATGAGGCCACACAGAGTGAGTAAAGAATCATTGTTGTACTATTTTGAGGTTGGAATGAAAAATGAGTAGATTTCTAAGAATTTCAGAAATTCAGAATTCTGTTGAGGCCGGGCACAGTGGCTCAGGCCTGTAATCCTAGCACTTTGGGAGGCCAAGGCAGGAGTATTGTTTGAGGCCAGGAGTTCAAGACCAACCTGGCCAACACAGTGAGATCCTGCCTCTAAAAAAGAAAAAACAAATTTTTTTAATTAAAAAGAAAAAAAGAATTCTGTTGAGTGGCTTTCAAGATTGAATTTTAGAGAATTGGCCATTTTCTTGCTAATCACGTGTACTCTTTTTTGAGACAGAGTTTTGCTCTTGTTGTCCAGGCTGGAGTGCAATTACAGAATCTCGGCTCAGTGATTCTCCTGCCTCAGTCTCCCAATTAACTGAGATTACAGGCATGGGCTACCACACCTGGCCGATTTTGTAATTTTCATAGAGACGAGGTTTCTCCATGTTGGTCAGGCTGGTCTCGAACTCCTGACCTCAGGTGATCTGCTCACCATGGCCTCCCCAAAGTAGGGGAGGCAGGTGTGCGCCACCATGCCTGGTCAACTCCTTTTTTTTTTTTTTAAGACAGAATCTCACTCTGTCACCCACAGTGGAGTGCAGTGGTGCAATCTCTGCTCACTGCAACCTCTGCCTCCTGGGGTCAAGCCATTCTCATGCCTCAGGCCCCTGAGTAGCTGGGATTATAGGTTTGCGCCACCACACATGGCTGATTTTTGTATTTTTAGTAGAGACAGGGTTTCACCATGTTGGCCAGGCTGGTCTTGAACTCCTGGTCTCAAGATACCTGCCTGCCTCAGCCTCTCAGAGTGTTGGGATTACAGGCATGAGCCACCACACCTGGCATCATGTGTACTGCTGACTGGTCTGTGTGGGCAGGCACAGTCACCCTTTGGCTTAATTATGTAAGAATTTCGGGGGGTTTAGTAAACACTATTCAGGGTCCCATGAGAGGACAGACCTTTTTGACCAAACCAGTGGCAGAAATAGAATGGGCTTTGGTTTAGTGTCACTGGCATAGGGGGCCCATGCTTTTAAAGCAAGCATATCAACTATTTTGAAAAAATAGATTTCATTCCCTAACAGCTATTTGAGCAATTGGACAATAAAATGTAGTCATTAGTCTAACTTTGAGCATCATGACTGTGAGGGAAACACTGTCCTTCAGAATGCTTATTGAAATCCAAAGGATATGGGGCTGAAGGGATACCACACTGTTCCTTATTTTTCTCCTTATCTTGGCTGAGCTCTTAATCTCTTAACTTGATTTTTGTGGACAGTTTAAGAAAGCATGAACCCACAAAAATTAAAAAGTAGAAAAAAAGAAAGCATGAAATTGTTTGTAATTATATTACTCTTGTAGGTATTTGCCCTGAAAATCTTTTTTTTTTAATCTCAGGTTCGCACTGCTCCTTGGAACACCACAAGGGCCTTCATTGCTGCCATGAAGGGCAAGTGTCTCCTAGAGGTGACTGGGGTGGCCGATCCCACAGGATGTGGTGAAGGATTCTCCTATGTGAAGATTCCAAACAAACCAACACAGCAGAAGGTGAGATTGTGTTTATTTCTAGAATGAGAAAGTCAAGGGAGAAAGAAATGGGTGAGTGGAGGACTTGGAATGTAGTTAAGTTAGAAAAATGACTTAGATGCCTACTTATAAGGAGCTCAGGTTCTTAAGATTCTTACTTTTTTTGTTGTTTGAGATAGGATGATAAAGAGCCGCAGCCAGTGAAGAAGACAGTGACAGGAACAGATGCAGACCTTCGTCGCCTTTCTCTGAAAAATGCCAAGCAACTTCTACGTAAATTTGGTGTGCCTGAGGAAGAGGTGAGTGTGGAAGTGAAAACGTAGAGGATACTAGGGGCTTTCTGTAGAGAGGGAATTGCTAGGAGTCAGATGTAAAGAACTATCTGGGGAACTTTGTATTGTAGGGTATAGTAGGCTAAGTCTTAGATATTGTTTCAGGAGTTACCTTTCTTTGTAATCTGCTTTGGGATGATTTTTTTTTTTGGTCTAACTAATTGTGTACATTGGCTAGTCCTTTGAAATTCCTGAATGATGTGTGTGTGTGTGTGTGTGTGTGTGTGTATTTGCGTGTGGCTGTTTGTCTTACAGATTAAAAAATTGTCCCGCTGGGAAGTGATTGATGTGGTGCGCACAATGTCAACAGAACAGGCTCGTTCTGGAGAGGGGCCCATGAGTAAATTTGCACGTGGATCAAGGTTTTCTGTGGCTGAGCATCAAGAGCGTTACAAAGAGGAATGTCAGCGCATCTTTGACCTACAGAACAAGTGGGTCGTTTTAATGCTGCAGAAAATCCTAGATGGAAAGGGGAGAAGTTCCAGGCACTATTTCATAATAAAGAGGAGGTCACTTAAAAGTTTCACTACCTAGGTAGTCAGATAGCCAGCATGTCAGGGTAGTATCTGTTTGTAATACCACCACCAGGGTACCTACTCCTTCAAACCAACTTGGCAAAATTTTTGTATGGAAAGAGATGCTGGTCTTGAGCTCTAGGTTTCATGACAACTCTTATGGCCTACTTGGGCCTAACAGACAGCACAATGGTAGCAGGTGACAGATGGGTGGGGTTTTTTCTAATGGTTTAGGTGTGAGAGGAGAGTAATACACTATTAAAAATGACCAGCGTGCTGATTTATTTCTCAAGTTCTCTCCAGGAATTCTGAAAGAGTTACTACAATTTTTCAAACTTGTCTTGTTTACCAAACGTCTAGAAAAACTTTGTAAAGCTTTTCTGTTAAGGGCCCCATGGCTTAGTGGATTTTGAGTATGCCTTTTTTAAGGTTGATCTCCCAGTTTTTTACTTTTGCCTGCAATCATATTTCTTTTTTTTTTTTTTTAATTTCTTTTGTTAACCATATTTTTTTAGCTCTTTCTGCACATTGATTTTTCTCTTTTTAGGGTTCTGTCATCAACTGAAGTCTTATCAACTGACACAGACAGTAGCTCAGCTGAAGATAGTGACTTTGAAGAAATGGGAAAGAACATTGAGAACATGTTGCAGAACAAGAAAACCAGCTCTCAGCTATCACGTGAACGGGAGGAGCAGGAGCGGAAGGAACTACAGCGAATGCTACTGGGTGAGGATAGTGGCTTCACAAGACAGATACAAAAGAGAAGGATTGAAAAAGGAGCATAAATAACTGCAGACGGTAATTGAGGTAGATCTGGAGGCAGAAGATATAGGGGATGCATGTGGAAGTCTATAGATGAAGTAGAAAGCTTTTTACAAACTGGACTCTAGGCTTGTCTGTGGAGGACAAATTGAAAAGATGCTGTCAATCCACTGCTGTCTCTGTATCAGGTGCTTGGCCAAGCCTGGGCTATCAGTGCTGTACTTCAAATGAGCTTTTTGTGCATTTATCCTAGAGGATAAGAGTTTTTTTTGTTTTGTTTTTTGAGATGGAGTTTCACTCTTGTTGCCCAGGCTGGGGTACAATGGCGCGATCTTGGCTCACTGCAATCTCCACCTCCTGGGTCCAAGTGATTCTCCTGCTTCAGCCTCCCGAGTAGTTGGGATTATAGGCATGCGCCACCATGCCTGGCTAATTTTGTATTTTTAGTAGAGACAGGGTTTCTCCATGTTGGTCAGGCTAGTCTTGAACTCTGGACCTCAGGTGATCCACCTGCCTCGGCCTCCCAAAGTGCTGGGAATATAGGTGTCAGCCATTGCACCTGGCCAAGAGTTATTAATACAGAATCTGTAAGTGAATTTAGGGAGTTGTCTTTGAAACTTCTGAAATTACATGTAAAAATATGCAAATATACATTTTCTTTCTTTTTTTTGGAGACGGGGTTTCATTCTGTCACCCAGGCTGGAGTGCAGTGGTACTTGGCTTACTGCAGCCCCCGCCTCCCAGGCTCAAGCAATCCTCCTGCCTCCGCCTCCCGAGTAGCTGGGACTACAGGTGCACACCACCATGCCTGGCTAATTTTTGTATTTTTTATAGACATGAGACTTTACCATGTTGCCCAGGATGTCTTGAACTCCTGAGCTCAAAGTGGTCCACTTGCCTCTGCCTCCCAAAATGTTGGGATTACAGGCATGAGCTACTGCACCTGGACTTATATGTGCATTTTCTGAGAACATTGATGGCTTTCAGAAGATCCTCAGAAGGAGTCTTAGATCCTAAAAAAAAAGTTTTAAAATTGTGGAAATTGAGGGTGGGAATAATAATGACCTGAATTGAGTTGGGATATGGAGGGGATTGAGGATGAAAATCAAGGCAACCTTAAGATTTTATTCTGGGATTACTAGAAAGATGTTGGTACCATTGATTACAAAAGTAGTAAATTTCAAGGTCTGGCATGGTGACTCACGCCTGTAATCCCAGTACTTTGGGAGGCAGAGGCGGGCAGATCACCTGTGGTCCAGGAGTTCAAGACCAGCCTGGCCAACATGGTGAAACCCCATCTCTACAAAAATTAGCCAGGTATGATGGTGGGTGGCTGTAATCCCAGCTATTTGGGAGGCTGAGGCAGTAGAATCACTTGGACTTGGGAGGCAGAGGTTGCAGTAGCCAGAGTAAACTCTGTCTCAAAAAAAAAAAAAAAAAAACCTGCATTTGAACAAGATCCCCAGGTGATTTCTATTCATATTAATGTTTGAGAAGCATATGCTAGCTAGGCTTTAAGACTCAGGACTTGTTTTCGTAGTGCCATTTATTTTTCTCCGAATTGCATGCTTGGGTACTTTTTTTTTTTTTTTAATGGTCTCATTCTGTTGCCCAGGCTGGAGTGCAGTGGTGCAACCATGGCTCGTTCACTGCAGACCTAACCTCCTGGGCTCAAGGGATCTTCCCACCTCAGCCTCTTGAGTAGCTGGGACTATAGGTGTATACCACCACACCTGGCTAGTAGAAAAAAAATTATACAGTGTCTTCCTTTGTTGCCCAGGCTGGTCTCAAACTCCTGGGCTCAAGCCATCCTCCTACTTTAGCTTCCCCAAATGCTGAGATTACAGGCATAAGCCACTTCAGTTGGCCTTGCATGCTTTTATTTGTAATGTGATCGTCACCCACTTCCTATTTGGTCTTTTCTCTTGCCCTTTTGTTAAGAGGAGTCCGTTTCTCGATCTCCTATAGCAAACATGTAGTTCTTTGAGGTTCTTTCAGAACTTTTTGTACTTAGAGAAGTTGGGAAATTGGCTAGGCATGGTGACTCACGCCTATAATCCCAGCCTGTTTCGTGGCCAAGGCTGGCCTATTGCTTGAGCCCAGGAGTTAAGAGACCAGCCTGGGCAACATGACAAGACCCCGTCTCTACGAAAATTTACCTGGATGTCGTGGCACACACCTGTAGTCCCAGCTACTCAGGAGACTGAGGTGGGAGGATGGATTGGGCCTGGGAGATGCAGGTTGCAGTGAGCTGAGATTGCACCCCTGTACTCTAGTCTGGGTGACAGAGCGAGAGAGATCCTATCTCAAGAAAAATAAAAATAAAAAAAAGTGGGGAAATCGACAGTGCCTAAAATGAAGTCAGGAAAGGACAAATCAGTATATTCCTGGGACTAATGATTACTTTGATGCTTTTTGTAGAATTGAGCTTTGATATCTCCACTGAACCCCAAGAAAATGATCATTTGGGAGATAAGGGGAACGTTTGAAAATCTTTTGTACCTTGCAGCAGCAGGCTCAGCAACATCAGGAAACAATCACAGAGATGATGACACAGCTTCTGTGACTAGCCTTAACTCTTCCGCCACTGGACGCTGTCTCAAGATTTATCGCACATTTCGAGATGAAGAGGGAAAAGAGTATGTTCGCTGTGAGACAGTCCGAAAACCAGCTGTCATTGATGCCTATGTGCGTATACGGACTACAAAAGATGAAGAATTCATGTGAGTTTGATTCAGCACTTTTATTTTTTTCTTTAAGGCCAGTCTTGCTCTGGCCCAGGCTGTAGTGCAGTGGCATGATCTCTGCTCACTGCAACCTCCACCTCCTGGGTTCAAGCGATTCTCGTGCCTCAGCCTCCTGAGTAGCTGGGATTATAGACGTGCATGACCATGCCCAGCTAATATTTGCATTTTTAGTAGAGATGGGGTTTTGCCACGTTGGCCAGGCTGGTCTTGAACTCGGCTCAAGCAGTCTGCCTGCCTCAGCCTCCCAAAGTGCTGGGATTACAGGCATGAGCCACGGCGCCTATCACCACTTTTGAGTGTGATAGAGAGAATAATAATGATGGGGAATGGTGACTGGGGGAGGGGGCTTGAGTTTTAGTGACAGGATTCTTCACAGTTGTTTCTAGAACTCTGCTGTAATTGAGAGCTGTCTTGCCTTTAGATTTTGGGTTTGAATAGAGCCAGATTACAGGGAAAATTCTGTCCTTTATTTGCCACAAGATAAAGGCATGTCTTGTTCCATTTTGGTCCTTTGCATTTTGATTGATTGGTTTGCAAAAATCGAGATTACTCAGGACTTATTCTAAGAGAGTTACCTCTGCAAATGGAGTGCTGATTAGGGAGGGAGATGGGAATGGTATGTAGCCCTTTTTCTCTTAGCCTGGATGGATTACTTTAGTCCTGAGGTGTTAAGCTATCAGGATAGTCTTCTTGGTTAAGGTTTGCTTATGGTCCTGTGATTTTTTTCTTCCTCTGCCTCCCACATTGTTCAGTCGAAAATTTGCCCTTTTTGATGAACAACATCGAGAAGAGATGCGAAAAGAACGGCGGAGGATTCAAGAGCAGCTGAGGCGTCTTAAGCGGAACCAGGAAAAGGAGAAGCTCAAGGGTCCTCCTGAGAAGAAGCCCAAGAAAATGAAGGAGCGTCCTGACCTAAAAGTAAGTATAATGTTGTGTGATTACAGGTAATGGAACAAAGGAAGAAAGTATACCTTTTCCTTTAGCTTTTGACATCCTCTTTTACTGGGAATGAGGGAAGTATATTGTGGAAAGCTGGTTTGAATTGATGTGACTTCTTGAGCGTTCTCAGTACTAATGTGAGTGGTATTGACAATTCCACATCCAATCTGGTGCCATTGTTTCTCTTTCTCTCTCTCTCTCTCTGTTTTAGACAGGGTCTGGCTCTGTTGCCCAGGCTGGAGCACACTGGTATGATCTTGGCTCACTGCAGCCTCTGCCTCCCGGGCTCAAGCCATCCTCCTACATCTGCCTCCCGAGTAGCTGGGGCTATAGGCATGTGCCACCACATCTGGATAATTTTTGTATTTTTTGTAGAGATGGGGTCTTGCCATGTTGCCCAGGCTAGTCTCAAACTCCTGAGCTAAAGTGATCCTTCTACCTTGGCTTCCCAAAGTGCTGGGATTGCAGACATGAGCCACTTTGCTCACCCAGTGCTGCTGTTTTCATTGGCTGTCATTTGTTTTGTTTTTGTTTGTTTTTTTGAGATGGAGTTTTGCTCTTGTTGTCCAGGCTGGAGTGCAGTGGTGTGATCTTGGCTCACTGCAACCTCTGCCTCCCGGCTTCAAGTGATTTTCCTGCCACAACCTCCTGAATAGCTGGGCTTAAAGGTGTCTGCCACCATGCCTGGCTAATTTTTTATATTTTTAGTGAAATGGGGTTTCACAATGTTGGCTAGGCTGATCTTGAACTCCTGACCTGGTGATCCATCTGCTTTGGCCTCCCAAAGTGCTGGGATTACAGGCATTGAGCCACCATGCCTGGCCTGTCATTTATTGTGTTTTTGTTTTGTTATGTTTTGTTTTGTTTGTTTCCGAGACAGTGTCTCACTCTGTTGCCCAGCCTGGGGTGCAATGGTGCAATCTCAGCTCATTGCAACCTCTGCCTTCTGGGTTCAAGTGATTCTCGTGCCTCAGCCTCCCAAATAGCTGTGCTACCACGCCCAGCTAGTTTTTGTATTTTTAGTAGAGATGGGGTTTTACCATGTTAGCCAGGCTAGTCTCAAACTCTTGATCTCAGGTGATCTGCCCACCTCAGCCTCCCAAAGTGCTGGGATTACAGGCACGAGCCACCGCTCCTGGCCTTATTCTTTATCTGAAATATTTTCTAGAAGTTGAGATAGGTTTGGTAGGTTTTTTGTTTGTTTGTTTTAGAGGCAGTCTTGCTTTGTCGCTCAGGCTAGAGTGCGGTGGTGTGATCTCTTGGCTCACTGCAACCTCTGCCTCCCGGGTTCAAGGGATTCTCATGCCTCACCCTCCCGAGTAGCTGGGATTACAGGCATGCACCACTATGCATAGCTAATTTTTTATATTTTTAGTAAAGACAGGGTTTTACTATGTTGGCCAGGCTGGTCTCGAACTCCTGGCTTCAAGTTATCCTCCCGCTTTGGCCTCCCAAAGTGTTGAGATTACACTCATTAGCCACCACTCTTGGCCCAGGTTTGGTAGGTTTTTTAACATGTACTTTCAGACCGGGTGCGGTGGCTCAAGCCTATAATCCCAGCACTTTGGGAGGCCGAGGCAGGTGGATCACGAGGTCAAGAGATCGAGACCATCCTGGTCAACATGGTGAAACCCCGTCTCTACTAAAAATACAAAAAAATTAGCTGGGCATGGTGGCGCATGCCTGTAATCCCAGCTATTCAGGAGGCTGAGGCAGGAGAATTGCCTGAATCCAGGAGGCGGAGGTTGCAGTGAGCCGAGATCGCGCCATTGCACTCCAGCTTGGGTAGCAAGAGCGAAACTCCATCTCAAAAAAAAAAAAAAAAAAAATGTACTTTCATGTCTCTTGCCTGTGTGTATACATCATATGTATTTCTAAATATGTATCTTTAAAATATTGCACATATTAAAAGAAGCAGCAAAAATAAAACATACGTTTTTCCATAACTTAGTAGGATTATAGATAATACTGTGATTGTACTAGCATCATAAGATGAGGTAGTTGTGGTATAGTGGAAAGAGCTGTGAACTTAGAAATGGAAGATCTGAATTCGTTTAATAGGTCTGCGACCTTCTCCAGGCTTGTTTTCTCTAATATAAAATATGTCCCAGTGGTGTTATATTAAATGATATAACTCAAGGGAAGCACTTTGTAAACTATAAAATATTCAACAAATGTAAAGAGTTCTTAATGCGTACTGAGGTCATTAAGTATTTTAATGTTCCTTTCTTGTATGTGGCATTAGATAAGTGTGATACAGTATTGGTCCCATTTTACAGATGAAACTAAGGTCTAAGATACCAGAGCTACTCATTTGCAAAACTGAGATGGAGACTTGGTGTTATCAAACCTTTTTCTTGGTTTGAGTAGAGAATAGGAATATACCTTGCAGGCTGATTATGCTTCTGAATGTAGACATTGGGGCTTCCAACAGCTTTTCTCCTGCATATTTAATATTTTCATAGTTTACAACTTAAATTGGGAGTGGGAATCATCTTCTTTTATTTTATTTTTCCCTTATCTGATATTTAAAGCAATGTTTAGTCTCTGGATTTCATTTTTTTTCCATGTGTTGTTTCTATACATGCAGTGTTTTTCTAGTGGCTTCTGATTGATCAGTGCATAACAATTCTATTGGAGCAAAAGTTCTGAAGCTGACTTTGTTTTTTCCCTATGTTGTATATGTAGCTGATCTTTGAACAACATGGATTTGAACTGCATGGGTCCACATATGTGTGGATAGTGGTATGTGGAGCCTGTGTATATGGAGGGCTGGCTTTTTGTATATATGGTTTCACTATGTGTGGATTTTGTTACACTTGGGGGTCCTGGAACTAATCCCCTGCATATACTGAGGGATGACTGTATTTCTTACCTGCTTATCTCTGGTATGTGTTTTAGCCTACTTACCTCTGACATGTTTGATACTTTTCCTTTTGCAGCTGAAATGTGGGGCATGTGGTGCCATTGGACACATGAGGACTAACAAATTCTGCCCCCTCTATTATCAAACAAATGCGCCACCTTCCAACCCTGTTGCCATGACAGAAGAGCAGGAGGAAGAGTTGGAAAAGACAGTCATTCATAATGATAATGAAGAACTTATCAAGGTTGAAGGAACCAAAATTGTCTTGGGGAAACAGCTAATTGAGAGGTAAGAGATAGCAGGCAGGAAGTGCTGTGGGACAGATTTATTTGAGGTTGGTTGTATTGGTGGCTGGCAGGTGTGGATGTGATATGTTCTCTGAAGTGGAACTGAAGGAACTGGGATTTTGATGGCTTTTCCTCAGTAATTGTTGCCAGTAATGAAATTATAGCATTCGTTAGGTTATACCACTTGTTTTGGGGCATGCTGCCTAACTTCTGAGTCTGTTTCCTTAGTTACAAAATAAAACCACCCTTACCAGGGTAATGAAGAGAAAATGAGACAGACTACAAAGCATATAGTACAGTGCCTGACATATAGTAGATACTCAGTAGATGTTAATTTTCTCTTCTACTTCCATATGATTATAATATTTGCAAGGTCCCTAATCTTGTAGTGTTTTTTTGAGACAGTCTTGCTCTGCCACCCAGGCTAGAGTGCAGTGGCTCACTGCCACCTCTGCCTCCTGGGTTCAAGCGATTCTAGTGCCTCAGCCTCCCACATAGTTGGGATTGGCCTGCCTTGGCCTCCCAGAGTGCTGGGATTAGAGACATGAGCCACCATGCCCAGCCTTGTAGTGTTCTAATAAAGGACCATCCCAAAAGATGGAAGAAACATATAAACTGTGCTTATACTTGTGTCTTATCCTCAGAGAGTTTAATAGATATTAAAATGGAGAAGTTGTAAAGTTCTTTCCCCTAACTTTTATAGTTTGAAAATGGCAAACCTACAGAAAAGTTGAAAGACTATAGTATATAATTTCTCAATATCCACCAATTGTTAACATTTTGCTACATTTGCTTCATTTTTATATACCTAAAACTTTTTTTTTCTGAATCATTTGGAAGTAAGTTGGAGGCATCATATTTCACTCCTAAGAAAGTTAACGTTAATAATATATAATATTCAGATCTCGTTCAGTCTTCCCCAGTTGTCTCAGTGTCCTCTTTATTGCCTTTGTCCCCAGTTCTGGATTCATTCCCAGTTCAAACATTAAATATATTTTGAATCACTCTTAATCTAGAATGTTCTCCCTATCTTTTATGTTTTTCTTTTCTTTCTTTTTTTTTTTTTTTTTAAGATAGGGTCTGGTTCTGTTACCCAGGCTGGAGTATAGGGGCATGATCTCAGCTCACTGCAACCTCCGCCTCCCAAGCTTAAGTCATTCTCTTACCTCAGCATCTGGAGTAGTTGGGACTACACGCATGCACTACCACACCTGCCTAATTTTTGTATTTTTTGTAGAGACAGGATTTTGCCGTGTTGCCCAGGCTGGTCTCAAACTCCTGGGCTCAAGCAATCTTCCTGCCTCAGCTTCCCAAAGTGCCAAAACTACAGGTATCAGCCACTGCACCCAGTCCCATTATGTTTTTCATGACATTGAATTTTTTTGAAGATTCCCAGCCAATTGTCTCAAAATATTCCACATTCTGGGTTTGTCTGATTGTTCTCTCATTGATTAGATTCTAATTAAATATTGTTGGCAAGACATTTAATGTCATATTTAGGTGATATACTTATTATACCATATCAGCAAGCACATAATGTCACTGTTTAGATCATATTGTTAAAGTGGTAATTCTCAGATCCTACAATAAAGTATGCTTTTTCTTTGTAATTAACATGTTGGTGAATATCCTGTTGCCAGACCATCTTTGAATAGTTTTAGCATCAGTTGATGACATTGCCTTATTCAGTTATTTCAATGGGGGTTCCAAAATGGTAATTTTTCTAATTCTAGCATTTCTTCTATATTGGCTAACATTTTTCTATAAAAAAGAGCTTTCTACTCTCCCTTTTTAAGTATTACTATGGATTCTGAAATTGTTAACTTTGTAAATTCAATGTTGTATAATTCTTCACATAATGAATTTTGATGCTCACATAGTTTCCCAAATTTGACTCCCTCAAGCCAGATCCTGTGTGTGTTTTTTTTTTTAATGACCTTGTAAATATTTGAGAACTTTTTGCTTTCTGGCACAAGATTTTTTTTTTTTTCTCTCTCTCTCAAGATGGAGTCTTGCTCTGTTCCCCAGACTGGAGTTCAGTGGTGCAATCTCGGTTTGCTGTAACCCCTGCCTCCCAGGTTCAAGCAATTTTGCCTCAGCCTCCCAAGTAACCAGCTTGCCCAGTTAATGTTTGTATTTTTAGTAGAGGTGAGGTTTCACCATGGTGGCCAGGCTGATCTTGAACTCCTGACCTCAAGCCTGGCCACCATGGTGAAACCCCAGCTCTACTAAAAATACAAACATTAGCTGGGCAAGCTGCTTACTTGCCCAGGTTCAAGTTGGGGCTACAGGCGTGTGCTACCACACCTGGCTAATTTTTGTATTTTTAGTAGAGATGGGATTTCGCCATGTTGGTCAGGCTGGTCTCGAACTCCTGAGCTCAGGCAATCCCTCTACCTTGGCCTCCTAAAGTGCTGAAATTACAGACATGAGCCAACACACCCAGCCCCCATCCTTGTTGATTTAATTATTAATATCTGTAATAGTCATTGTTTTTTGAAGCACATTAAAAGAGGAAGATAAGGCTGGGCATGGTGGCTCATGCTTATAATCACACCACTTTGGGAGGCTGAGGTGGGAGGATCACTTGAGCTCGAGTTTGAGACCAGTCTAGGCAATATAGTGAGACCCTGTTTGTATTACTAAAAAAACAGTTTTAAAATTTAAAAAATGAAGAAGAGGAAAATGTGATACCTTGATCCCTTATAGTGTAAGAGAAGAAGGTGAATAAGCTTTAATGATTGAGGGAAGCCCAAACTAGTTTGTTTTGTTTTTTTCAAACCAGTTTTTAATTTCTTGTTTCCATTCTGAATGAGTTAGGTGTACTAGCTTTTTAACCTTTAAGGAAGAATGTTGGGACCGGACATGGTGGCTCACACCTGTAATCCCAGCTCTTTGGGAGGCCAAGGCGGGTGGATCATCTGAGCTCAGGATTTTGAGACCAGCCTGATCTACATGGTGAAACCCTGTCGCTAATAAAAATACAATAATTAGCCAGGTGTGGTGGCAGGCACCTGTAGTCTCAGCTACTTGGGAGGTTGAGGCAGGAGAATCACTTGAACCTGGGAGGTGGAGGTTATAGTGAGCTGAGATTGCACCATTGCACTCCAGCCTGGGTAACGAGTGAAACTACATTTCAAAAAAAGAGATAGAATGTTGGAACTCGATTCTTAAAATTCTTTAGCCTGGTTTCCTTATCTTCCTAATAGGAAACTGAGGTTAAACTGTGATTTAGTTATTTATTAATTTGGAGAGCCTATGAGGACTTACCTGATCTGAGCCTTAGAAGGTGGATGTCTGGCCTTTGGTTTGGCATTTTCCTCCCTAGGCTTATTCTTAGGTACCTTGGACTTTTTGTATTATAGTTGCTTTTTTTTCCTGGGGACTAGAAATCAGGGCTGCATCTTATGAAAGTGTTTTGATTGCAGTGCGGATGAGGTTCGAAGAAAATCTCTGGTTCTCAAGTTTCCTAAACAGCAACTTCCTCCAAAGAAAAAACGGCGAGTTGGAACCACTGTTCATTGTGACTATTTGAATGTGAGTCTGGGCGTTGCTTCCTTCTGATTAAGTGGGTTTTCATTGATTCCCCTGGCCGTGTATGCCATGGCTCTGACAGCCTTAGATTCTCCATTTGCCTTGCCCTGAGAATGATGGGTACTGTTCATTGTAAGATTTTTTTTTCTAAATTTTTTTTCTTTTTACGCTTCACAAATTTGCCTGTCATCCTTGTGCAGGGGCCATGCTAATCTTCTCTGTATCAGTCCAATTTTAGTATATGTGCTGCCGAAGCGAGCACTTACGGTAAGATTTCTAAAACATGTTTGTCTAGTTAGAGAATGTGGATTTTTTTTTTTTTTGAGATGGAATCTCACTCCGCCCAGGCTGGAGTGCAGTGACGTGATGTCGGCTTACTGCAGCCTCCATCTCCCAGGTTCAAGCAATTCTTCTGCAGCTGGGATTACAGGTACACACTACCACGCCCAGCTAATTTTTGTATTTTTTTTTTGAAGACGGGGTTTCACCATGTTGGCCAAGCTGTTTTTGAACTCCTGACCTCAAGTCATCCGCCCACCTCTGCCTCCCAAAGTGCTGGGGTTAGAGGCATAAGCCACTGTGCCTGGCTAATTTTTGTATTTTTATTAGAGATGAGGATTTGCCATATTGACCATGCTGGTCTTGAACTTCTGACCTCAGGTAGTCCACTCACCTTGGCCTCCCAAAGTGCTGGGATTACAGGTGTGAACCATTGTGCTTGGCTGATTTTTGTGGGGTTTTTGGTTTTGTTTTTGTTTTGAGACAGAGTCTTGCTCTGTCACCCAGGCTGGAGTGCAATGGTGTGATCTTGGCTCACTGCAGCATCTGCCTCCCAGGTTCAAGTGATCCTCCTACCTCTGCCTCCTGAGTAGCTCGGATTACAGGCATATGCCACCACACCTAGCTAATTTTTGTATTTTTAGTGGAGATCGGGTTTCTCTGTGTTGCCCCAGATGGTCTTGAACTCCTGCCTCAAGTGGTCTGCCTGCCTTGGCCTCCCAAAGTGCTGGGATTATAGGCGTGAGCTACCATGCCCAGGCAGAATGTGGATTTTTTTTTTTTGGTCTGAGGAGGCATTCTGATTTCTTGTTTCTCCTCAGAGACCTCATAAGTCCATCCATCGGCGACGCACAGACCCTATGGTGACGCTATCATCCATCTTGGAGTCCATCATCAATGACATGAGAGATCTTCCAAATGTGAGTTCATTGCACTGGATATCTATAGTATGGATATTAAGATCCTTTGTTCTGTCTGTGATTTCCAGTAGGGGGCAGTAATCTATAGGTCTAGGCACCTCGAATTTTGGGGGATGTCATTTTTAATTTTTTTTTTAAAGCAGTTTAATAGAGCAAACAGATCTGCTCCATCTAGAAAGATTTCTTTCAGAGTTGATAGGTTAAGATGTGTGAGTCTTCAGGAATTGGCTCTGGCAAGTGTTCTTTGCTGATGTATGGTTCTGGCTCTTGTTTGCAGACATATCCTTTCCACACTCCAGTTAATGCAAAGGTTGTAAAGGACTACTACAAAATCATCACTCGGCCAATGGACCTGCAAACACTTCGTGAAAATGTGCGTAAACGCCTCTACCCATCTCGGGAAGAGTTCAGAGAGCATCTGGAGCTAATTGTGAAAAATAGTGCAACCTACAATGGTAAGAATCACATGTCCCATGACTGCAAAGGTTCCTGTTCAGATCCTTATTTATTCCTTACTGGCCCAAAATTCAGACTGGATTGGACCGAGAGGACTACAGTGCATTTGTGCATTCATTTGTGGATATGAAAATCAGATAATATACATTTTCAGTTATTTAATAAATATCACTTCTTTTTATTCCCACTGTTTTTAGTTCTTATATCCTCTGGAGAGTTTGGAGTCTGTCTATTGCAATGAAACAGTTGCATGGAAAGTAGTAGAAGAGGTGAGCCTAGGTTAGAAAAGAGAGACATTCAGTGTGGATGGAACCTGTGTAGAGTATGCACTTGTGACCATATTCGCTGTGTCTGAATCTTTGATTTGATCTACAAATATGTTAGAGGTGCTCAAAAGCTAAGAAGACAAAAGAGGAAGAAATCTGTGTCTTTTTTTTTTCCTTGTGAGACAGGGTTTCACTCCTATTGCCCAGTAGCCTCCCCAGTAGCTGGGACTACAGGCTGTTGCCACCATGCCCTGCTAATTTTTGTGTTTTTTTTGGTAGAGATGGGGTCTCACCATGTTGCCCAGGCTGATCATGAACTCCTGGCCTCAAGTGGTCTGCCCACCTTGGCCTCCCAAAGTGCTGGGATTACAGACGTGAGCCACCGTGTCTGGCCACATTTTTTTAATTTCACCATAAGAAGTCTTTAAAATGAGTACTCTTAAAACCCTCATTTTCCAGATGAACATACAGGTCTGTAGTGTTTAAATAGCTTAAAAATTTTTTTTTTTAATGAGAAAGATGAGCTGATGGGTTGATGTGTGCAGTAAACCACCATGGCACACGTTTACCTATTTAACAAATCTGCACGTCCTGCACATGTGTGAAAAAAAAGGAAGATGACTTTACCTTTAGGGGCACTTCTAACCTACATCTGTGATCTTCTTTTTTTTTTTTGAAGATGTAGTAGTCTCTCTGTGTTGCCCAGGCTGAAGTGCAATGGTACTATCTTGGCTCACTGCAGTCTCTGCCTCCTGGGTTCAAGTGATTCTCCTGCCTCTGCCTTCTGAGTAGCTGGGATTATAGGTGCCCACCACCATGCCCAGCTCATTTTTGTATTTTTAGTAGAAATGTTTTGCCATGTTGGCCAGGCTTGTCTTGAACTCCTAACCTCAGGTGATCTGCCCACCTCGGTCTCCCAAAGTGTTGGGATTGCAGACGTGAGCCACCATGCCCAGCTGATTTTCTTTTTTGAGACAGAGTCTCACTCTGTTGCCCAGGCTGGAGGAGTGCTGTGGTGCGATCTTGGTCCACTACAACTTTTGCCCCCTGGGTTCAAGCGATTCTCCTGTACTCTTTTTTTAAAAATTTAATTTATTAAATTAATTTTTTTCCTGTGATTCTCTAAGAAGGAGCCTGTACTCTTAACTAGCATGCTCAACATACCCTTCTCCACTTTTTCACTTACCATTTATGCCTCACACCCCGTACTTGTCTTCGGCTAAAGTACTAGCTGCATTCTAATTGCTGGATCCACTGGCCACATTTCAGAAATAACCTTTTATTTTAAAAGCTTTATTGAAATATATATAATGGCTCTATTGAAATATACACAATGGCTCATGCCTATAATCCCAACACTTTGGGAGGCCAAGGCAGGAAGATCGCTTGAGCCCAGGAGTTTGAGACCAGCCTGGGCAATATAGTGAGACTCTGTCTCTACAAAATGAAAAATAAAAATTAGCCAGTCACGGTGGCATGTGCCTGTGGTCCCAGCTACTTGAGATACTAAGGTAGGAGGGAGGATTCCTTGAGCCCGGGAGGGTGAGGCTGCAGTGAGCTGTGAATGCACCGCTACACTCCGTCCTAGACAACATAGTGAGACCCTGTCTCGACGGAAAAGAAAACAGGAATGAAGTAATAATACTTAATTTTAATAGAGATAGGGTTTTACCATGTTGGCCAGGCTGGTCTCAAACTCCTGGCCTCAAGTAATCCGCCTGCCTAGGCCTCCCAGAGTGCTGGGATTGGAAGCGTGAGCCACCACTCCTGGCCACAATAATTTATTTTCAAGTCATTTCTTTGAGTAGACCAGCAGCTGTATTTTATTTTTTTTGTTCTATTTTTTGAGATGGGGGTCTCACTCTATCACCCAGGCTGGAGTGTAGTGATGCAATCTTGGCTCACTGCAGTCTTGACCTCCTGGGCTCAAGCAATCCTTCTGTCTCAGCCTACCAAGTAGCTGGGACTACAGGTGCATGCCATCATGCCTCAGTGTCACAAAGTGTTGGGATTACAGGCGTGAGCCACTGTGCCTGGCCTAAACCAGTAAGTCTTATAGGTAGGAAGTCTATCTTATTTTTCCTTATATTCCCATCATTGAACACATTGTACACAATCATTAAACATCTGTTAAATGAACAAACAAGTGAATGCTGAAATAAGTAATTAGTAACAGAATAGAACTGAGGTTTAGGCTCTGGGGAGCACTAACACAAAAGGATAGACAGGAATACAATCTAGCAAAAGATATGTAAAAGAAGTAATTGGAATTACTAGCTAGATGAAAATATTTTACCTTCTTTATGATGAGCTTAAATTAGGGCATTTAAAACCAGAGAGTATAGGAGATAGGTCAGATAGTTCAAGGATTTTTCTGAAGCTTCTGATATGGATCAGTATTGAAGATTCTTTAATAACACAGGCTTTGGGTTAACTTGATGTTATGAGAACACCACAAACTAAATTCTACACAGTAAAATTTCAATCACAAATTGTATATGCTAAGTGTGGGAAAATTTCAAGTCTTCCATTGGTGTCTTCAGTCATTCTTAAAGAAATTATTGTTGCCCTTCCATAGTATCATTTTCAAGGTATTAAAGGCAGCAGTAGTACCACTGTGTTTATATACACGCAAATTAAGGAAAGTTAAAATTATTAATTCATATTATGTACCTGCTATATTTTAGGCACTGAAAAATGGACCTAAGTCCGGTATATCTGTCTAACCCATCAATTAGCCTGCTGCCTGACACATATTAGGTTCTTAAGTAAGTACATTAAAAGGATAAAGAAGCGTTGGCAGCTCTTGCCTCCCCCGCCCCCTTTTTTTTTTTGAGACCCAGTCTTGCTCTGTTGCTCAGGCTGGAATGTGGAGTGCTGGGGCATGATCTTGGCTCACTGAAACCACCTCCTCCCGGGTTCAAGTGATTCTCCTGCTTCAGTCTCCTGAGTAGCTGGGATCACAGGCGCCCGCCAGCACTCCTTGCTAATTTTTTTGTATTTTTAGTAGAGACGGGGTTTCACCATGTTGGCCAGGCGGGTCTTGGCCAACTCCTGACCTCAGGTGATCCACCTGCCTCGGCCTCCCAAATTGCTAGGATTATAGGTGTGAGCCACTGCACTCGGCCTTGCCTCCCATTTTTAATGGTCTGATCTCTTACTGTTCCTCTACAGGGCCAAAACACTCATTGACTCAGATCTCTCAATCTATGCTGGATCTCTGTGATGAAAAACTCAAAGAGGTAAGACATTTAGAATGAGAGAAAGGCAGTGGAATTTGAAGGTGGGGGATATCAGGGTTTGGGAAGTAGGGAATTTAACAGAAGGAAAAGTATATGTGGGAGTAGCAGATCTTTAGTATATGTGAAAGTTGGAAGGGACTTTAGAACTCATAGGCCAGTCTCTTTTGTAGATGAAAAAGCTGGGCCCATAGAAGAAAATTATTTGTTCTGGACATCTTGACTATTAATTAAGTTAGAATTAAGATCCAGCACCTACATAACTCATTAGAAAGGACAGAGGGAAGTGACTTTCCAGGAAGTTAGCTGTAGCTAAGAGACTAGTAAGTGTTTTAGGAAGGAGGAAGAAGTAGACATTTAACAAAAGAGGATAACTAGCCAGTAAACAGGAAAATATTCTCAACTTGATTGATTATTGAGGAGATGTAAATTTAAACCACGATATCACTACATACCCACTGGAAAGGCTAAAATTAAAAAGACTGACAATACTAAGTGTGGATGAGGATTTGGAGCAATAGGAATACAAACTTTTTCCTACTAGAGTAAAATAAATTTATTGGGTTAGGTCACCATTATATAAAAGTCACTAATCAGTAATAATGTTTAATGTTTTCAGCAATAGTTTTATAACAAAAACAGCATGATCTTAAAGCCTAAATTGCTAAAGATGTTTTGTGTGTATGTGTGTGTGCATGTGTGTATGTGTGTGTGTGTGAGCTATGATATTGACACTCAGGTATGTCTAAATTTTGGAGAACTAGAAGAATAGAATGTAGAGTACCTAAAGAAGTTGTTGACACAGCTTTTTTGACCCTTTTACTTGAATATCTTTTTGTTGTTACTGTTTTTCTTGAGACAGGGTCTTGCTCTGTCACCCGGGCCTGGAGTACAATGGTGCAGTCTTGGCTCACTGTAACCTCTGCCTCCAGGGTTCAAGTGATTTTTGTGCCTCGGCCTCCCAAGTAGCTTTGACCACAGGCGTGTGCCACCACGCTCAGCTAATTTGTTTTTTGTTTTTTTTTGTATTTTTAGTAGAGATGGGGTTTTGCCATGTTGGCCAGGCTGGTCTTGAGCTCCTGGCCTCATGTGATCCACCTGCCTTGGCCTCCCAAAGTGCTGGGATTACAGGTGTGAGCCACTGCCCAGCCTGGAATATCATTTATCTTGACTTGTTGTCATTCAGTAGATAATTCAAAGTTATACTTTTTGGGGCAAGGGTAATATATAGCTAGCTGAACCTTAAATTACTCTTAATTTTTCTGTGGTGATCACACCTTAGGGAAATTTCTGTCTTGGCTTTGCTTTGTTTAATTTCAGAAAGAAGACAAATTAGCTCGTTTAGAGAAAGCTATCAACCCCTTGCTGGATGATGATGACCAGGTGGCATTTTCTTTCATTCTGGACAACATTGTCACCCAGAAAATGATGGCAGTTCCAGATGTAAGCTGTCTCTGTGCTGCATATTGTGAGGATCATGCGGGGAAAGGAAAGATGTATAGGGTTTACATATGTATGTATTTTGGAGTCTGGGTGGTTTATGTCAGTTGTGACTAGTGTGTGATTTTACATATTGACCTTTTTGCTGTATTTGTGCGTTATCTTTTTTTTTTTAAGAGTACATTATCATTGAAATCAAAGAGGCCGGGAATCTTTGGATGTAGGGAGGTTTCTGCTTCCTGTTGTTGACATTCAGTATAAGAATGCTCCTGAATAGCCCTGTAGAGAGAGGATGCTTGCTAATGCAAGGCTTTTGATTTAGAGGTGCTTCTAGGCAAATGATACTTTGATAATTAGCGACTGTTGGTTGTCTTTTAATTAGATTTTTTATTGTTATACTGATCCTCCCCAGGAATTCTCAAATGAGTTTCCTGTTGCACTATAGGAATGCGTTCTACATGTGTAATGCTATAAAACTTCTGGATGGGACTAGGGAATAAGGAATTTTGATTATGACTGTAGAGCAAGTGTTCTTACCCTATCATGGCATAGAAATCTTAAATCTATGAACCCCTAACATTATATACAGACATTTTGTATGACTGTGTTTTTCTGGGAAAAGAGTCCATAGCTTTTTTCCAGGAATATCTGTGACCCAACAAAGGTAGATAATTTCTTAAGAGTGGTTTCCATTTAATTTTCTATGCTTTCTATTTACTAGTCTTGGCCATTTCATCACCCAGTTAATAAGAAGTTTGTTCCAGATTATTACAAAGTGATTGTCAGTCCAATGGATTTAGAGACCATACGTAAGGTGAGTGAGTGATTTGATGTAAATGCCTTTTTACAATCTAGTGACTTTGTGTGTGTATCTGAGTGCCTGATTATTTTCATCACAGAACATCTCCAAACACAAGTATCAGAGTCGGGAGAGCTTTCTAGATGATGTAAACCTTATTCTGGCCAACAGTGTTAAGTATAATGGTGAGTATTTCTTTTTTTTTTTTTTCTATCCATTCGTCTTCTATCCATCTAACATTAGTTAGCATTATTAAAAAAAAATTTTTTTTGAGACAGGATCTTACTCTGTTGCCAGGGCTGGAGTGTGATCATAGTTCACTGAAACAGGCACCTGCCACTGTGCCAAGCTCTTTTTTTTGTGTCTGTGGTAGAGACAAGGTTTTGCTATTTTACCCAGGCTGGGCTCAAGCAATCCTCCCACCTAGGCTTCCCAAAATGCTGGGATTACAGGTATGGGCCAGCGCTCCTGGCCAGCATTATTAAAATTTATGTCCATAAAGAAGCGTTGAGCAGTGACAGCAGAATCAGTTGAATGACTTAGTCTTTTTAAGATGGAGCTGCATTCTTGTCGCCCTGGCTGGAGTGTGATGGCACAATCTTGGCTCACTGCAAGCGCCGCCTCCAGGGTTCAAGCGATTCTCCTGCCTCAGCCTCCTGAGTAGCTGGGATTACAGGTGCCCGCCACCACGGGCTAACTTATATATTTTTAGTAAAGATGGGATTTCACCATATTGGCCAGGCTGGTCTCAAACTCGACCTCAGGTGATCCACCTGCCTTGACCTCCCAAAGTACTGGGATTACAGGCATGAGCCACCACACCAGGCCAGTCTTTTTTTGTTTTGTTTTGTTTTGTTTTAAAGAAAGCATATATTTTAGTGTGTATGTTGTATAAAGATTGCCATTAGCCTTTAATGGTGAAAAATAATATATGCTTACTTTTGAAATCTTGGTAGGCACAGAAAAATGAGGTGAGAATAAAAATCAGATGGATGTTACTTTGGTCTCTGAGGCATCACTGCTTTTTCCTGGGATGTGAAAACTCAACTATGCCCCAGGCCCTTAGATGGAGTTTATGGAAATGGGTAGCTGTAGACTATGGTGAGCTTCCTTGGTACATGCAGTTTTCCTCAGTACATGAGTTGATTTAATAACATATGCCAGACTCTGTGCTAGCTGCTTAATCTACTGATAGGAAAGACAGTCACTGTCCTCAAGTAATTCATAATCCAGTTGGTGGAAAGAGACAATTAAAATGCAGCTTGGAACCAGGCACAGTGGTTCATGCTTATAATCTCAACACTTTGGTAGGCTGAAGTGGAGGATTGCTTGAGGCCAGGAGTTTGTGACCAGCCTGAGCACACATAGCAAGACCTCATCTGTATAAAAAACTTAAAAAACTAGCTAGGAGGTGGTGGTGAGTGCCTGAAGTCTTAGCTACATGGGAGGCTAAAGCAGGAGGATCGCTTGAACTCAGGAGTTAAAAGACTGCAGTGAGCTATGGTCATGCCCCTGCACTATATCCTGGGTGACAGCAAGACCCTGTCTCTATAAATAAATAAGTAAAATGCAGCTTAACAAGGGCTGTAATAGGAGTATATACAAAGTGCATCAGATGAGAGCAAGGAATATCTTAACCTGAGGGTTAGGGAAGGCTTCTTAAATGAGCTAATAGTTCAGTTTTTTTTTTTTTTTTTAGTTCATTCTTTATGCCTATGTTTCAGAGGATAATAATTCCGTTTCGAATGACTCAATTGTTAAGCAAACCTTGAGTGATTATATGTGCTGGCACTGATAGATGTTACAAATACAAAATTAGATATGGTCTTTGCCCCAGATTAGTTTAGTTTAGTTGGGGAAACAGAAAAGGAAAGTTATAGTACTTACATTTTATTGCTATAAGCATGCACAGAGTGCCACAGGACAGTATATCCAAATTAGAGTGGGGCTGGCCGTGGTGACTCATGCCTGTACTCCTAGCACTTTGGGGGACTGAGATGGGTAGATCACTTGAGCTTAAGAGTTCAAGACCAGCTTGGGCAACATAGCACGAGACCCCATCTCAAAAAGAAAAAAAAAAAAGTGGCATTAGAGGAAGCTTTCTGGAAGAGGGTTTTCTTTTTCATTTTTTACAAACAGAGATGGGGGTCTCGCTGTGTTACACAGGCTGGTCTGGAACTCCAGGGCTCAAGCCATTGTCCCATCTTGACCTTCCAAAGTGTTAGGATTACAGGCATGAGCCACCACACCCATCCAGAAGAGAGTTTTCTTAAGCTGAGTTCTGAAAGATCAATGGTGTTTACTTGGCAAAGAATGTGGAGGAGAAAATGTTCTAGGTGGAGAGAACAGCAATATATAAAGGCACAGAGGCCTGAAATTGCATGATACGTTTAAGAAACAAGGTGTTGGTGTTGCAGTTCAAGTGTACATATTGGTGAATGACTGGAGGCAGGCAAGAGTCAAATCAGAGGGTTTGGTGTGCCATACTTCAGTTTGTACTTGATCCTAAATGGGAAAACATTGAAGGAATGAAGCAGGGAAATGATTTCTTCAATTCCTTAAACAAATAGAAGACGGAGCTAAGGGCATTTGAGAGAATTGCCTAGCATACTGCGGTCTCAACTAAGAATCCATATGATTATATGACTTTTATCCTATAATTTTTAGCAGTAAGTAGTATGGCTGTTAAGTTTGTCTGAAGGGAGAGAGAATTGGAGAGAAAAGGTGAAGGACTGGACAGCCAGAAAGACTGATGAAGAAGTAGGCATTCTGAGCAGAGAACACAATGTTTAGTATCATGGAAGAATGAAAGAACAGGACAAGTTCAGGGAACAATAATGTAACCAGAACATGCATATATCTTTAAGGAGATGAGACTTGTATTTTTGTTCATTCTGGTTTGGGTTGAAAGAATCTACTTTGCTCTGCTTATTATATGTTGGAAATTAGAGAGTGGAAATGCCCCTTGTTGGGTCAATTATCCATTATTGTTTCATGAGAACACCTAAAGTTAATCATCCAGAATTCTGGCAGTGGAAGTGTTGGTAAGCTTACAGATGTCTAAAAAAGACTGTGTATAGCAAGTGATAAGCAAGAGTGTTAACAGGCACTTGACCTGCTGGTGGCTGACTTAGGATATAGGGCAGACTTACAAGGAGCTTATGTAAAACAGTAAGACAAACCCAGAAGATACTAATAGGAAAGTAAGGAGAGGGCAGATGGACAAATCACAGAAGACAAAAATTAAATAACAAACATGAATAAGTATTCTGTTGCACTAGTAATCAACTAAATGTAGTTGGGCCCGGCATGGTGGCTCACCCCTGTAATCCCAGCACTTTGGGAGGCCGAGGCGGGCAGATCACCTAAGGTCAGGAGTTTGAGACCAGCCTGGCCAACATGGTGAAACCCTGTCTTTACTAAAAATACAAAAATTAGCTGAGTGTGATAGTGGGCACCTGTAATCTCAGCTACTTGGGAGGCTGAGAAATGAGAATTGCTTGAACCGGGAGGCAGAGGTTGCAGCGAGCCGAGATAGTGCCATTGCATCCAGCCTGGGTGATAGAGTGAGACTTGGTCTCAAAAAAAAAAAAAAAAAGAAAAGGAAATGCAATGGAAAGAGATCTTTTTTTTTTTTTTTTTGAGACAGAGTCTTGATCTGTCGCCCATGCTGGAGTACAATGTTGCCATCTTGGCTCACCTCCCAGGTTCAAGTGATTCTCCTGCCTCAGACTCCTGAGGAGCTGGGATTACAGGCATGCACCACCACACCTGGCTAATTTTTTTGTGTTTTTAGTAGAGGTGGGGTTTCACCATATTGGCCAGGCTGATCTCAAACTCCTGACCTCATGATACACCTGCATTGGCCTCTCAACGTGCTGGGATTACAGGCGTGAGACACCGTGCCTGGCCAGCTAAAATTTTTAGTAGACATAATGTTAGTGAGGCAGGTGCACTCACATACTGCTATTGGCAGTATAAAATTGTGAGACATTTCTGGAAAGCTATTTGGCAACATAGAGAGACTAAAAAATTGTTGAGTGAATAGACTTTATTGTCAGGTAGACTTGGATTTGAAAATTGGCCCTACCACTTAATAGCAATGTGACTTTGAGCAAATCCCTTAGTCTCTGCTTTTCCATCTGTAAAATAAGAATAATAGTATTCCCCTCAGAGGGTTGTTGTGAGGATTAAATAAAATAGTGCATGTAAGTACTCAGCATGTGGTAAGATGATAATCCTAATCAGAGCTGTAGTTAAAGGTATTAGTGATATTTATATTAACAAGGATTTATTTAACCTGAATAGTTTACGTAAAGGGGATGATATTAAAGTGCTATCTTTATAATTAATTATTAAGTACAGATTTAAAGCTCTTTTTTGAAAAACTTAATGACCGAAACATTCTCACAATGTTAAGTGAGAAAAGCAGAGCACAGAGATGTTTATTTCATCTCAGTCATGCTTTTTTTTTTTTTCTAATGCATATATGTCCAAAAAAGGCTGGAAGGAAACGCACCAGAGTGATAATAGTGGTTGTTTCTGTGACATAGGGTTAGGATTGTCTTTGTTTTCATCTTTTATGTTTTCTGTGTTTTTTTCTGGTATAGGAAGCAGGGAATTCTTCCTAAGAGGAAGTGACTTTTGAACTGAATTTTGAAGAATGTTGATTATAATAGCTACTTACTGTGCCAAAGAAATAGTCAAGTGGAAAACAGTGGGGGAGAATTTCCGGCAGATAGCACAAATGCAAAAGTAGATGAAGGTGCCCTGGATAGGGAAGTGCAGGTAGTTAAATATGACTAGGACGCATTTACTACTACAAATATCTACGACATTTGGTAGTAAGATACAAGATGTTAAAAGTAGAGGGGCTAAGTTATGAAAGGCCTAGTATGTCACACCAAACCTTTAGAAGGAGAAAGGGACATAAGAGGTATTAGTAAGATCATTCTGAAATCTATCTGAAGAATGGATTGGAGGAGGAGAATAAGATAGAGACCAGTAAAGAAACTATTGACAGCGCATTCCCAGTTAAAAATATTGACAATCTAAACTAAGGTCAGTATCAATAGGAGTAAAAAGTTGAAGGCAGGGTATAGAGATACTGACGAGGTAGAATGGATATTTCATAAATGATTAGAAGTTGGGGGTATGGGTAAAGGAGGAAGATTTAAGATAGTAT